TTGGCTGAAACACAGCAGTGGCTGTCATTTACAGCCAGTAAGGAGGGATCAGGTCTGAGCCACATTCTGTGCGTCTTATAGAGCGAGCAGGAGCGAGCATGCACAAGTGCCCCCAGAGCAAGCAGCTTGGGGGAGGAAAGAGCCAGTAACACCAGCGGGGCACCCGGGAACAGGAGGAACGGGTCTGCTCTGTGCAAAACCATTTCACAGAGCAGGTATGACATGTTTGTTATTTAAAAAAAAATAATTCTGAACCTTTAGTGTCACTTTAAGGGGTCCATTGAAATCAATGGAAACTTCTAAAAATGTGAGATAGATTGCAGCGCAAATTAAGACATACTACAATCACAATTTGTAAGTGTAAAACCAGCTTTGAAGGAAAACATTTCCTTTAATCAATCTCCCCATCTGAGTGCAGCCTGCTTGCTCAAATGCTTACTTTCCTCCATGACCCACACCTTTCCAGTGAAAATGTTATCGCCTGGTCTTCGGCCTTCATTTTACTGTGCATTTGCGCTTGGTAAACTGTACTCATGGAGGCCTTCTGTCGTCCTGCAAAGTACAGCTTAGGAATAAATAGGGCCATGGCTTGCACGTGCACTGAGAAGAGGGGGCTTTTGTAAAGGCTGTTTTGTAATGTAGGAATGCACAGCAAAGATTGCTGGATCAGGAAGGTGTACTAGCTGGATGACTGCAATCAGATGGTAGGAGGAAATAATGGAGTACAAATAGTTCATCAGATAAGATGAAAGCTTTTTTTCCCAGTCAAGCATGCATAAACCTATTCTCTGTCTTTCATACTAGATATCTACTCTAAAGATCAGTAATGAATGTATTTTAGCAAAATAGAAAAATATACCTATAGAAGGAGACTTCTAAACATTATACAACTAGACAGTACTGATATATATCAAATTGATCAACTTTGGTGTACCTTGAAAGCAATCATTGTTATCTATAATAAAGTTAAATATTGACTTTATATTAAAATTACCCTACACTTTAAAAATCTATAGAAATGTAACAAACTGATACGGATTACCAATAAACAGTCTTTTTTTAAATTGTTAGTGATTTATAGATCTAAAACATTTTTGCATTGTATTCCTAAAATGCATTTAAAGGACACGTACAGTGAAAGCTTTTTTGTTTGTACTTCTCCTGTGGATCACAGGAGTGCAGTTCGTTCTGCACTCCTGTGACCCGATTTTTTAGGCTGACAGAGGACTGAAGTCCGCTGTCGGCTGATGTCATTCAGCCGGTCCAGGCTGAGGAAAGATCCCGACTTCAAAGTTGGGATCCACCCCAGAGTCTAGAGCGGCACCTGGCTCAGCCTCTCAGCGAAGCAAGCAGGTGGGCACTTAGTTGAGATAGACAGATGATATGCAATGTCTCTTCTGCAATAAAACAAACTTACCAACCTGATTGCAATAATCTTTAGAATATACAGTGTTGTGCAAGCACAGCCCAGTGTACATTCTCAGCATACTTAGGTGCTGAAATGAATCATCTCCCATGAGCATGCATGGGAGCTACGTATGTCATTCAGACCCAACCAGGGGCGGACTGACAACTCATGGGGCCCCCGGGCAATAGGGGATCATGGGTCCCGTGTCCTTGCCCAAAAACAAAAAAGCCTATGAAAAAGGTACCAGGGGCATCTCATGGGGCCCCCTACTGACCCCGGGCCCTCGGACAGTGCCCGAGTTTCCAAATGGTCAGTCTGCCCCTGGACCCAACCAATCAAGATGGCAAAGATCCCAAACCTGCAATACCAGGCCAGTGGGGCCAGTAAAGGAAAGGCAAAAAAGTAGGGGAATTTAGTTACACTTTAAAGTGAACCTATCAGTAAAAGAGGCTGCAGCAGGGAGCTGATGTGTGCCAGATCTATGTAAACACATCCAAGATCTAGACAGGCACCAAAGATTTACATGACACTGTCATCGCTGAGCCAGCATCTTGGTCCAGGAAGTAGATAGCAACTCGGGATTACGCCTAAAGAAACCTAGAGCTGCCTTCTGGAAAGGAAGGTAGATGAAAATGTTTCAGTGGAATACTTCAATCCCTGTAACAGGTAATAGTTGCATTACACTTACAATTTATATACCATGAACTTAAAGTAGTATAAAACTTTTTTTTTTTTCCATTTTAGATGCAAAATGCAAGTTTTTTTTCACCACCTGTGTCCCATTGTGGAGGTTTCCCTCCACTTCCTGTTTCATAGCCAAAAAGACAGCGATAGGAAATACATGCAAATTAACCCCCAGGTCACCAGAATTAGTGTCCGCACTGGAAGATTTCCCCGCTATTACTTTTCTGGGGACAAACCAAAATTTTGGATTTTCTTTTTACTTTCAATGATAAACAGGACAAATAGAGGAGGGTGAATCTGTCCTAGTGAAGGCACAGACAGCAAAATCCAAAACTAAAGAAAACTTTTGCCTTTAGCTATACTTTAAGATGAAAACATGTATTGGATGTTGGTTCAACTTTCTTTTAATGAATACATAATGGATATTTTCTATTCAATAACTGTATGGAGTTCACCTTTAATTTATGTGTATATTTTTAGTTTCAGATGCTGCTAGGTCAGGAACATGCTAATGTCCTGAATGTATGATATTTCCAAGTGATTAGGAAAAACACTAAAATCAAAGCCCGTGTGCAGAGTCATATGAAGGCTAGCATTGCTGACATTAAAATGGCTCACTGTAAAAAGCTAGTTGGTTTCTTTATATTCTAAGTCAAAGACTTGAATAGGCATGTATCTAATGAAGTCAGAACTCCTCATCTGCATACCTGTTCCAGGTTGTTGACTTGAAGTGTTAAAGCAACCTTCATCTATGCAACTGTTGTTCAGGGAAGATTTAACTGTAAAAGATGGCTGTAAATACTCATTTTTCCCACTGCCTATGTATTCAAATGCCAATCCAATCCTCAGAAATTTTCATATAAAGTTTTCAGGGGAAACAGACACTCCACGTCATTACAGGATACAGCAGTGACATGAAGGTCAGTGCAAGGATCCAGTAAGAGCTTTGGCTGACCCAGAGGTCAACATGGAAGTACTGGTTTCCTTGCAGACTTAAATACATTTCTTATACAGTGGCAAAAATAATTATTTGATCCCCTGCTGATTTTGTTAGTTGGCCCACTTACAAAGAAATGAAGGGTCTATAATTTTTATCATAGGTGTAATTTAAATTACAGACAGAATATGAACCAAAAATCCATAAAAAAACACGATACAAATGTTATAAATCAAGTTTCAGTTCAGTGAGTAAAAGAAGTATTTGATCTCCTACTTACTAACAATAATTCTGGCTCCCACAGACTGGCTATGTGCTCATGTGGTACACAGATTAGTCTTGTCAATTCAAGAAGGTGCTCCTAACCACAACTCACCATGTGTATAAAAGACACCTGTCCACAGAATCTCTTTTATCCATTCAAACCTCACCACAATGGACAAGATCAAAGAGCTGTCAAAGGATGTCAGGGACAAGATTATAGACCTGCACAAGGCTGGAATGGGCTACAAGAGCATCAGCAAGAAGCTTGGTGAGAAATAGACTGTTGGAGCGATTATTTGCAAATGGACAAAATAACCATCAATCGCCCTCGGTTTGGAGCTCCATGCAAGATTTTGCCTGGAGATTTTGGGTAAGGATGAACATGAGAAAAGTGAGGGATCAGTCCAGAACTACATGGGAGGGAGCATATGAATGATCTCAGGGGAGTTGGGACCACAGTCACCAACAAACCATTGGTAACACAATACACTGCCATGGATTGAAATTCTGCAGAACAGGCAAGGTCCCCATCCTCAAGAAGGCACATGTACAGGGCCGTCTGAAAATGAACATCTAAATGATTCAGAGAAGGGTTGGGAGAAAGTGCTGTGGTCAGATGAGACCAAGATTGAGCTCTTTGGCATTAACTTGACTAGCAATGTTTGGAGGAAGAAAAATGCTGACTATGACCCTGAGAACGCCATCCTTACATTCAAGCACGGAGGTGGAAACATTATGCTTTGGGGCTGTTTCTCTGCTAAAGGGACATGCCGACTTTGCCACATTGAGGCGCCAATGGACGGGGCCATGTATTGTAAAATCTTGGATGAGAACCTTCTTCTCTCAGCTAGAACACTGAAGATGGTCGTGGATGGGTCTTCCAGAATGACAATGACCCAAAAAATATCACCAAAACAACAAAGGAGTGGCTCAAGAAGAAGCACATTAAGGTCATGGAGTGGCCTAGCCAGTCTCCAAACCTTAATTCTATAGTAAATTTATGGAGGGAGCTGAAGCTTCGAGTTGCCAAACAACAGCCAAGAAACCTTAAGGATTTAGAGAAGATCTGTAAAAAAGAGTGGACCAAAATCCCTCCTGAGATGTGTGCAAACCTGTTATCTACAAGAAATGTCTTACCTCTGTGCTTGCCACTGTGCTGTGTTTTGCTTGGAGATCAAATACTTACAAAATCTGCAGGGGCTCAAATAATTATTTTCCCCACTGTAAATTGAGCAGCATATGAAGAAATAGGCAGCAGAAAAAGCTACATATTTCCAAATTTCCTTTACAGGTAACTTTTGACTTTGTTGCTACACAAAAGTTACTGAGTCGCTTTAAAACCATTTCTTCTACATGACAGCCAAGTAACTATTACTTTCAGACGCGGAGTTCATCAATGGCATCCTACGTTTCATGATAGGTTAAATGTCGCAGACAAAATTGTTATCAACTGTGGATTTAGAATTTTATTAAAAAAATGCTCCAAAAGAAAGACAAAACACAGAAAAACTACTATACTGTACATAAAAATAAAATGTTTTACACTTTGACTCTGAGCATTTGTATCAAAATACGTCTGCTTTCTTCTGATCCACTAAGTGAGATGCCACAGTATCAAATCACTTTGCCCATTGGTCCATCAGTGCTGCATGTGCCAACAATCTCAGGAAATATTCACATATATAAAGATGTCCAGCAGATTTCCTCCTATCTGGTGAAGGAGCGTACATGACGTCCTCTGCTGCCATTTCCCCCCAGAAACTTTCCACGGGAAGCGTTTCCACTGCCTGCTGCATTATTCCAGGATGGGCCTAGCCCACCGCGGCCCCTGGTGGCTCGTTCACGTGGATTTGGACGGTATCCTATTGGAAGAGAAATACATTTGTCAGTTTTCAGTGTAAGGATGCATGAATATAAATGTGAAGTACTGGTTAACCCTAGTGAAATGTATTACTTTATGTCTGTTTAAAATGTTTTTGTGTGGAATATGTACCACCTATGGTACATGGGAGGGGAACTGCCAACTAAAAGGCCAACCAGATAAAGCTAATATAAGAATGACACCTCTGGATCACAGCAGTGATAAAGGAGAACTCTCTCTGGCTTCAATGTTCTATGATTAACAAACGTGGAACAAGTATGCGGCAAGTGAAATCAAATCTAATCTCCATACTTGTTCTAAATCAGCATCTTCTCAAAATAGCCAAGTAGTCAGCATTCTAGCCAGACAACTTGACAGCAAAGGGTTGCGTAATAATTTACACCATGGATAGTCTTCTACTGTGTCGCCAATTGTCTTTTTTAGAGAGTTGGAACTTAAGGGCAGGCACACAGAGCAGCTGGAAGAAAACTGTTCAGTTTTTCTAAAGCAAACAATGGCAGCTACAACACAGACTGGTGAGAATAAAAAAGCATGGGAAAACTTTGAACTGTAACATACATGATTATAGGTGGCAATAAGACAAGAATATGCTGCCTTTTGTAATAGAGCTACTAAAACCATTAACCAACAAGAGGTTAAAAAGGTTCTAATTGTTTTTATTAAAATAGGTAACTGTATTGGTGCTTTACAAACTATTTCTACAAATGTATATTAAATATTACAAAAGTTGTTGAGGGACAACTACTGTGCTATATTATTTCACTGCAGAGATCTTGGTATGTGTATTATGTTATACTCATTTGCTGCCTTGGATGAAGATGATTGCCACATGAAAAAAAAAGCGTAATGCAACTTACTAATTTTTGTTCACAAAGGAGAAGACTGCATTTAAAGCCATGTAGAGTGTATGATATTTATAATGCAACAAAGATGGCAACAGCAACAAAGTTATCAATCCATTAAAGAGGACAGTGCACTTTAAACTGTGCAGATGTCAGTACAGATGGTTCTGTGATTACTGGGATTCTTCACATTTTCATTGTACAACTGCAATATTATTACAACTTTATGTATACACAAACCTGTTTACACAGGTTTAGGCCCAAGGAACTGATATGCGATTAAGGTAAGTGTAAGATCCCTATCAGTAGAAGCACTTAAAAAAAAAAAGTCCTCATTTACCTCTGTAGCTATAGGCATTGTGGAAAAATGAATCTTTAAAGTTTGCAACAGAAGCCCAGAAGTCACATCTTCTTTTCCCTTTGCTTTCTATACCAACAAAATCTTAGCAGTTTGCCAGCCTTCTAAAATAAACTCATAACAGGTGTTTGTAAACTGATAGAAACTGATAAAAGGCTAGGTTTACACCTATGCAATTGGTGCATTGCACAGGCACAAAAGCTCATTAATTTGAATGGGCTGCTGTACCTGCGGGAAATACAGGGGAAAAAGTCCAAACACCTTTTTAAAACGCACTGCGTTTCCAGATGTGTGGGGGTGCAATTAATATTAGCAGTGTTTGCCTGCGGGTGTGGAAACGCATGCATTTACAAGCATTCCCACACACGCATATATGTGAACCTAACCTAAGAATCTGCTGCGATCTTTGATGATAAATTACATCAAAGTACATGAAGCTAGAGTGGTCAGGAATATTTTTGTTGTGAACTTCTTTAACCACTTGCCCTCCAGAAGATTTACCCCCCTTCCTGACAAGGCCAGGCCGATATGGCGCTGCGTTACTTGAACTGATAATTGCGCGGTCATGCAATGCTGCACCCAAATGAAATTTAGCTTTTTTCCCCACGAAGAGAGCTTTCTTTTGGTGGCAATTGCCTGCGCGGTTTTTATTTTTGTGCTATATATAAAAAAAAAAAATATCCAGTAAAAAACATTTAAAAAAAAAAAAAAAATATAAACTTAGTCATAAATTTAGGCCAAAATGTAATCTAGTGTGTCTTTGCTACAAAAAAAAAAACCCAATGTGTAAATTAATTGTTTTACATGAAAGTTATAGCGTTTACAAATGGTGTTATATATACTGGGATTTTTAAAAATACTTTTTATTTTTACTAGTAATGGCAGCGACTGGCAGACATTCTGACACTGGGGGGGAACGGACTTGGTGTCACTGGGGATGTCAGTGACACCAACACAGTGATCAGTGCTAATAAAAAGCACTGACCCTGTACTAATGGCACTGGGCAGGAAAGGGGTTAACATCTGGGACGATCAAAGGGTTAACTGTAGGCACACTGCTATGCAGTCATACAAAGCAATTGCACATTGCAGGATGACTGCACAGCAGTGTGCCTACAGGGAGCTGACAGGGGAGAGAACTGTATTGTTTACATACATTTCTCTTCCTCCTTCGATAATGCTCCTTGATCACCAGGTGCCGGCGAGTAATTACCAGCTAGGACACGGTGATTGACAGCCGAGGCCGTGAATAGCAGCGCAGATTGGACTCGAGTGCACCCCCAACACGTAAATACAAAATGAAGTATATATACACGTAAATTTTGCGCACCCGTGACGCCTGTAGCAATATTTCTGCTATAGGGCAGAGGTGAAGCGGTTAACTACTTGGTAAGAATATGTAATTACTTTTTTAATGTCTATAGCAGCCTTTCTTAACCGTTTTAACAGAGGAAGCCTTCAAATAACTTGGGGAACCCTTGATAACCACGACTAAATCTACAACTCATGATATATTAGTGTTATATTAATTGGGAAGAATGTGCCTTACACTTGTGGTCATTGGGAAGAACTACCCCCATACAGGAAGCTAAAAAGATCAATGGTGTCAGTGGAAACTTATCTGAGAGGCAGAAATTGCTCATTGCTCAAGGAACCCCTAGCAACCTCTGGAGTCACCCTGGTTAAGAACCCCTGATCTACAGTGTAAGCACAGATGCATTTCAAGGCAGTCAACTCATTATTTGCACAGTCCTTTCCCACACTGTGCACTAAGATGTAAACGATTATCACACGTTGCATTGCAGTCACAAGTCAAATCTTACAAAGCATAAATTTACATTCAGTTCAGGCCAGCTCACACCACAAAAATGGACTCCATACATTTTTGCTTACAGTTCACACCACACTCTGTGCCAGTGCGTTTTTTATATATTTTGCTGTATTCCAGTACAGTTCTGTGCAGAAAAAATGTAACATGCTCCACTTTGTTTTCTGCACTGGAACTGAATGCATGGGTGTGAACTAAGGCCATTGGAATACATGGAACACACTGTGCATGCATTTTTAATGCAGAAAAAAAACAATGCACTGGACTGCATGTGGTGTAAACTGGCCCTGAAAAAGAAGCAGTGACAGTTATCAAACCCCATTTGGTTATGTTCTTTGTTTACACAATTAACTGCATGACAGATTTTACTGGTCAATATTCTTTTAAAGGCACCCTGAGAGCTTTGGATGAGCGGACAATTGAATGACTAGTTTTAAAGGCTGAGGAGCACAATGACCACAAAGTGCATGTTACATGAGCTCTCCTTGTGGACTATGTGTGGATTGAAAAAATCTCTTATTAACAGAACTCAAAGACCTGCCCCAATATTCTTCAATGTAGTTGGCCACATTCTGACAGGTGCTTATCTGCTGCTCAGCCTTTCACTTAGAACATTTTGGATCACATTGACTTTACATATATTGAAACGCACAGAAGACAATCATTCCTTTTCATTCTAGTAACCTGCTTAGGCAAAAAAAAGAAAAGCAGGCAGGGGCCAGTGCAGAAAACAGAAAGGAAACTTCCAGAACACAAGATACACACGCGGGGGAGTACAAAGGATGGTCAGATGTGTGGTGGCTGAACTGACTACAGGAGATGCAGGCATGCCATGCTTCTGCACAGTATCCTGTATGTCCAAAAATATGCAAACTGGTCACATCATCAAAACTCTGCTTTCAGGCTTGGCGTGGTCAGAATGAAAAAAGGTACGGAAGGAACTAGCAGAACCACCAGGTATTCCTATAAAGCAGTTAAAAACAAGCAGGCTACAATTCTATACTGCAATAAAAAAAATAAAAAAAAAAACAGACACCTATCTCTAATATTATGGAGTAACAACCACTTTACTTTTATATTCTAACCATTTTTACTTTTTTTGTCAGTTCTTCACAAATAATTGTAATCTTGGAAAAACAGGTCAATCAACAATCAAACAGGCCATTAATGGATTCTGAACCCAAAATGTTAGGTGTGATGGGCTGGTACTCACCAATACAGAGTTAAATGGAGCATCCATTCCCTCCCTCCTAGATTGTAAGCTCGTAAGAGTAGGGCCCTCTTACCCCTCGTACGTTGTTTGTTGTTGTTGTACTGTGCCATGTATTGTCCCCCCTATTGTACAGCGCTGAGCAAACCCTTTGGCGCTATATAAACTCGTAGTAATAATAATAATAATAATTCTACTTTACCCTTAGTAAGAATCATGTATAGGTTCAAAGACTGGCAGCCAGCGTTCTCCCCGAATACTGGAACAAGGTTCAATGAACTATGGGTGACAGTGGCTACTAACCTGTAGAGCTCTGTCTCAGAGGGGGCAATGGTCCTCTGTCAAAGTTGCTTTGTGCTCCTCTGCTTTCCACATAGGCGGCTCTCGGAGCAGCTTGGCCAGGCCAGTTTATGACCCGGACTCCTTCACGGCGACTGTAGTTTACTACGAACAAAAACACCACGAGTAAGAAAACAGCCTATAATCTACCAAACATTAAAATGTCACTGCTCTAACTTTGCTAGTCTTTTTATCTAAGAGAAATTATCAGAGCTATTCAATATTAGACTCATTTCCTTGTATGGCCGAAGACCTACCTTTAGGAGCAGGTGGCGTAAAGAATCTGCTCTGGCTATGGAAAGCCCCTCTGCCACCACGATTTCCTGGAAAACCACCTCTTGATGACACCTTTTGTGTTGCTTTTGGCGGCCGCTTCTGAGGCGGGATTCCAACTGGAGGCACCACTTCTTTTCGTTCAGCTGCCACAAAATCATCCACATGCATGGAAGGTGGGCGGCTTGTATTTTGTTTCCTCTGGCGAAAGAGGTCATGAGGGCGCATAGCCTGTCCAAAGCCACCCCTGCCCCTCCCACGAGGAAGAGGCACAAAGTGGGCTCTCTTTGCTGGTTCGATATATTCAGATTTGCCACTGTGTAAACAGAAGACAGAATATTCATCACTAGTTTACAAAATTGCCTTTATTTACCAAGGGTACTTACTTTTCTTTGGCATACATTTCTATTTTCTCTAAGAGAACATCATTTTGATCATTTAAAAATTAAGTTAACTTAGAGAAGATAAAGGCAACAAATAAAGTAAACTAGTGAATGTTATACAAGAGACATTGTAACTGCAATAAAAACAGAAGGGGTATTCAAAATACCAGAGTTATATTTTCACCTAAGCTCCAACTCACCAGGGTTCTCCCACTGCTTCTAGATGTGACTGCAGACACCTGTTCCATGACATTACATCTCATATCCCATACATCTCTCTAATGTGCAGATGAAGCTGCAAATGGCTCAGAGAGAAGGGCAGTGTTCGGATCACAAAACAAGCTCATTTGCGAAGGTAAGGAAGCCACCAACTACTACCATCTCGATTGTAAACAGTGACCAGGAGCGGTCAGTGACAGCGCTGTCACAGTGCTGGAGTGCGACAACTGAGCATTGTCCCAGCACAAAAAAAAAACACCTTCAGCTGTATGCATAAATGGGGCAGCATGGTTTTTAAATCCCACCCCATGCTGCCACATATATTGCCATATAATATATATGACCAAAATTGTGAGCTCTGCCAAATTAGAATTGGGGGATCACAATTACAGAAGTACCATGCCTTAGCATGGTTTCATATTTATTTTGCAAATATATGCAACAAAATTCTCTTTTAAATGCAAATTGAAACAATTTAAACACGGTTTTTGTGCTAACTAGCTGGTAAGCATCCTGGTGAAATTTTGTACTGTGTTGTTCAGTGGACTGCACTGCCCATGTGCACCTGACTTCCGCAAGGTATAAACTGATCTGAGCAGTTGCCATTTTTACTTTGCTTGTTGAATTTGGTGCAGAGACACACCAGAGCCCTTCTGCTATTGAAAATGTGTGCCGTGTCTCTGCACCTTTGAGGAGGAAGGGGCTATTTGCATTGTTTTTGTTGTCTAATTGGCACGTTTGCAGGGAATAGTTTTTTTTTTTTGTATCCTATTCTACAGAAAAACTGTTCTACACTAGTGAAGAGAGCCACAGAAACTCACCTTGTAATGAAAGTCTCATGTTTGTGCTTTCCTAGTTTAAACCCTTTAGTGGTCTTTGTCCTTCCAGGTGATGATGGCTCCAACAAAAAGGATTTCTCCAGTTCCGCCTTTAAGTCAAAGTCACTGCAGCATTTGGCAGAAAGGTCAATCAAATCAACTTTCATCTGTAATAAAAGATATATATAGCTTTAAATAAAGACTTCGTACTAGACCACAGAAGTGGGTGAGATTATTTAACGTTCTTCATGAATAGCCTGGAATACTTTCCTTTTGTGAACTTCACATTGTCATTCTTCTAGTGCAAGTTTTTATGTATGTGCAAGTCAGTGGTTCATAATAAATAGAACCATGCTCTTTTAGCTGCTTGACCTCACACAATATCTGCTCAATTCCTGAGGGCGCACAGTAAAGCCAAATAGTTATAGGTAATGTGGATGTAGTGCCCTCCTCTAGTTAGGTTTCTAGGCCATGTTTAGTTTTAGGCTTCACTGTAATCAGTGGTGCAGCAATTCATTGCTTTTGTCTGATTATGGTTTTCTAGCTGGGTGTTTGTTTTCTCTCACCTGCTTCTGGAAGAAGCTTCCAGACTATAGGGCAGGGAGAGTCAAATGGCTAGCATGAACAGTAAACAAGCCCCAGCCAAACCCTGAAATGAGGCATCTGGAAGGTGGCTGGAGAGGTGGTAAATGTCTGAGAGGCCTTTCCAGAGTGTTCTTTCCTCTTTAGAGAAACTCCAGTTCTCCCAGGGCTGCTGCCCCTGGAGGCAACTTTACTGACTCAACAATTGTGTTCTGGCCTTCAGCAGGAGTTAGGCTGAGGGCCTGGAGAAGATTGCAAAAAGGATTTTTGATACAATCTGGGTCTTAGCAGGAGCTGGGCTGAGAGCCTGGGGAATACTGGAAAACGATTAGTGCTGAAGGAACGGTCAGAAGGAACGGTCAGAAGTCACGTTCTGGAGAAGGATCGTTTGTTTCCCACGCTGGTGGAAGCTGAATGATAGATTCCTCCTTGGGACTGCAGTTATGCGGATTTAGTGTGAAGACTGTCCTCCTACTAATTGCCATTATTGTTTTTGAGTATCCCTTGACCCTAAACTTCTCTTCTGTTTCAAGTTCTTCAGTAATAAATAATAAAAAGACATCCCCTAGACTGAGCCATTATTGTCGGTGTGCATGTGTCGGTGTGACTGGTAGCTTCTGTACTAGCAAGGGAGACCTGGGCATATTCTCAGCGGTCCTTTTGGGGTGTGAGCACTACATAAACAAACATGGGCCTCTGATATCTAAAACTATTATGCTCTCTTGAGGAAGATGTCAGACTTCAAGTGACGAGCTAACCTTTCTGCAAAGTAGGGGGGAGAGAATATAAGCCTTTTGCGACTAATTCTTCACAGCAGTAATGATTTAAGGATTATTATTATTGCATAAGGTCAGTAATGACTAGTTCTCTTTAAAAAAACCTGGCTGCTAGGTTACACATCCACTTGTTCTTGCATTTTTTATAGAACGCCAATAGTCACAAAGAACTACATGAAAACCTTTTGACATAAGGATCTGTTAAAATTATAGATACTGTTGATTAATGTAGATTCATAATAAAATAATTAGCTATAATGGAAGGGTGATAACATCAAATGTATACTAGAAAATGTAGAGGTCAGTACCATGTCTAGGTCCACATCTGCTTCCTCTGGCTGGAATGGTGAAAATGACAGAGACTTCAGCTGCTCGTCCATTACATCGGCTAAAATGTACACAGTCCTAGAACACATCAGATGAATAGCTGATTAGTAAAGGTGCAGCTTCCAATAAAAATGCTGATAATTATGCCATATCATTAAAACGATTCTAAAGGTTAATTTAAAAAATTTTTTTTGGAAAATAACAAACATGTTTATACTTACCTACTACCTACCAGGTTCCCTGCAGGCTATCCTGGCCCCTCCCTCCTGTTGGGTTCCCCCACAGCAAGCAGCTTGCTATGGGGGAACCCGCTGCTCTGTGTGTCCATTCACACAAGGAGCCGTGGCTTGGCCCTGCCCCCTCCCTCCCTTACTGAATGACTGTGAGATTGACGGCAGCCAATGGCTCCCGCTTGCGGTCTCAGCCAATCAGGAGGCAGAGACCCAGAACAGCCAAGGCTGTCATTCACATCGCTGGATCGAAATGGGACTCAGGTAAATATTGAAAGGGCTGGGGGCACTGCTGCACACAGGTTTTTTACCTTCATGCATAGAATACATGAAGGTAAAAAAACCTTCAGCCTTTACCACTTTAAAGACAACAGTCCAGTCATAATTCATCCAGCATCCCTAAAAACTGGCTGACAGGCAAATGTGTCACCATAAACGACAGGGCGTAACACATTTGTCCTGCTTAAAACACAGTTTGTTCTCCATTTTGGCACATGAAAAGTAACAGTCACATACAGATTTGCCAGACAGTTGAAAAATCTCTGGACAAAAAAAGAAAAACATTAGCGTTATTGCTGGCCAGGTTGTGTATTTTTATGTCCTGATGTAGATTAAATCTGTTTTTGTGCAGCAAAACTCGCACATTTTACTGCTACTTGAAATGCACTTTCAAGACAGAAATCCCATGCACATCTATGTGCTGCAGCCAACTATGTTTTTGGAAAGGAAAACTCTATAGGCCCATTAACACTTTTACATGTGTTACCAAACATGCTGCAATACACACAGAACAATGTAAGGTCCCATTCACACTTGGAAATAGTGTAGTTAGCGATTAGAGGTGAGAGGCCTAGCAGGGGTTTTCAGAGGAGTACCTGCGGGTGGAAGCATCTCTAAAAGCAATTGCAGATAGAAAACTCTTGCAGCCATCCAAGTGATGAAGCTATTACCTGCAAATGATCAGCTCTCAAAGCAGACAGTTTGAGTCCAGGGCTGATTATCACTGGTAAGAGTTGTCAGCTTCCCGTTGCTTTCAATGGTGCTTCTGCCCACAACTAAATGCTGGGAATCCTCACATCACTAACTGTTCCATTCACAAGTGTGAATGAGGCCTAAATCCAGCTGTATTCAATTTCTTAACAAGAATATATTCCTGGAAACTAATCTTCCTGCGCTTAGTTGTCAGAAGTGTGCACCACATTAACAGAGCAGATAAACAAATTTAAAGTGTATAAGTGTAGTTTCTATTTCAGAGTTAAAATACAAACTAGTACAGGTCTGCACCTGATTAACAAGAGCAACATGAACGTTTTCCATAAAGAATACTGTCACAGATTCCCGCCAGGTGCAACCTTGTCGTATGGGATGTGACCTGTCAGCAGACAGCTCACATCTCTCTCTCTACCTGTACAGCAATCACACAGCACAAGCCGAGACTGCACAGGGTTAAAAACCTTCTTCCTCCTTCAGCTGTAAGATCGGAGCATGCAGCTCCATTCTCTGTCTTGAGTGCCGATACTATCACAGCCACAGAAAGATTGCGTCAGCCACAGAGGGGCTTGCGTCAGTTTTCTTAATCAAGAGCAGCATCTGCTCCATGTTGCACAAGTCTTTGTTAGCCCCCCCCCCCCCAGTATGTTCAGCTTCTTCAGAAAAGCCACAGAAAGGAAGAGTGGAATTTTGACAGGTATGATTAAGAAAAAAAAAAAAATAGTTTGTGTACAGGAGAAACTAAAGTTGGCCATATTTTTTTAAAACATGGAAGGATTTGTACCAAGGTAGAACAAGAGACCCATTCTTCACAGAGCGACAACCTCTTTGCAATCGCCCTTCCCTTTCATATAGACTTTGTCAGCCTCCTCTCCAGCACTAATATACCTAGTATCGGCTGGTGTTGGATACTAGGGGAAGCTATGAAAACACTCCTCCTGTCATGTGGCAATGCTGAAGCCTAGCGATTGACTGCTGGACCCAAATGCTGTCAACATGGGTGGAGGTCACTTGCTCCACCTATACCTAGAAGCATGGGTATTGACACTGGCTACTATGGAGAAAAAAAAAAAAAAAAAAACACGGGTGGCGAGCATTAGGGCGAGTCCTTTTGAAAGACACAGTCACTTTGTTATGAATGGGCAAGGTGAAAGTGTTCCATGCAATCAAAGAACCCTTTTAACCCTAAATCTGAAGTTCTATGGTAGCCAATAATCTTCCAAATAAAAAAAACATCTAATCTTCCTTCATTGTATAAAAAGTTACACAACTAGCAAGCTCTCAATAAATCGAAACATAGAACTAAATGGTATAGTACTATTGTTTATTCTTCATTACTGTTATTGAATAGATTCTGCAGAGTGTCTGGCGCAGATAAAACTGGCTCCACGTCCTGGTCACCGAGAGGCAATGGCTCCTTCACAGTTTCAAGTATTTGCCTGATTCCAGACACATTATCCAGTAAAGACTCCAAAGTATCATCCTCTTTTGACTGCTCCTACAATGGAAAAAAAAATGAGTTACCATTAGAACAATAATTCCCAAACTTTAGCCAATTAAAAATGGCCATAGACGGAGTGATTTTCTTTCCTGCAACCATGGGTTGCAGAAAGAAAAATTGCTTGATTCCTACCATCAACACGGTCAGTATGGATGAGGGGAATCCCACCTGCGGAGCCATTGTGTTCTCCCGAGGGGGAGGGTGGGGGGGTTGTTGGGAGCCATCCTTGCCGGGAGAAAACAGTGAATATTGCTAGCGGCTATAAAAATATTGCAGGAAAATCTGACAGGCTTGTTGTACCCAAGTTGATTGATCGACATTCAGCCTGCCCAAACATAGCTTGAATCTCAGCCAGTTCAGCAGATACAGCAGGGACCGGGAATCCTGACAGTTTATTCACATTACCTATTCTGTGCCAGTTTTATGTTTCAACTGTACATGACTGTACCTGACTGACATTTGAATGCTTGCAGAGCCTTTCCAACCTTTTAATGGCATCCATGCTTGTCCTTCAGCAGACTCAACAACGGTGTCTAACAATCTGACAACAGCAGCGAACACTTGCAACCAATGTTGTAATCAACATGTGCCCTCTAGCGTTTGCTGTCACTATAAAGATTTGTGTAGTAAGGTGTCAGAAACAAATCAAATATAAGAGAAAGCAAGCTTTTAGGTACTTTTAAGGAAAATGGATTGTTTTTGAAATGCATTCACCATGCATTCCTACAAACGTCTCATGACGACAGGTCTTTTGCGGAGTTTGGAACGCATTTCAAATGTATTTTGGCAAAATTCTTCCCACTGTAATTGAAAAGCACAAGTGACAGTTCAGAGGAGAGGTGTTTGACCTGATTTGCGTTTTCTTTGGACTCAGCCTGTCTTATTGAGGTGCGTTTGAACTGCAAGCAAAACAGATCCAACACAGTTGTTTGTCAAATGCTGCTTTTGCCTTTCAAACACAGTGTTGAAAAAGAACACCCAAAATGGGTCTGAAGTGCACCAGGGCAAAACATACTTAAGATACTGAAAAAAAATAAAGTCAATGCAGCAGCTTATACAGCAATTTAAAGTGCAACTCCAGCCCAATAGAGATACAAGCACCAATAAATCTGACTCTTGTCACTGCAACAGGAGGTGACAGTCTGTCTGTCTCAGTTCTGGTAGGGGTGCTTAGAGGAAAAGCTCCCCATTGAGGACATAGACCGCAATAAAAACTAAACCTTTACCTGCTTTAACCCCTTGACACCGACGTAACACAAATATGTGGCCTCACAGAACTGGGCTTTTCTCCGTGGGGCCGCATATTTGCGTACCTGTCTTTGTGCTGGAAGCACAGCACGCTCCCAGCACAAAGACCAGGGTTTCACTGAGAGTACAGAGTTCCGTTCTAACGATCAGAACCCAGGACTCCCGATTCTGGGTCACATGATCGCTGTGATAGCCTCTGATTGGCTATCAGAGTGATCAGTCACTGTACAGCCTGGCCCCCTTGGTTTTTTTCTCTCTCTCTATGAATGGAGGAGAGAGATACATTGTATATCTCCAACTCCGGGCATAGAGAGAAAAAAAGTTTGTAAAAAAAGAAATATATATATATATATATATAAATAAAAAAAAATACCTAGATCAAGGTTTGATCTAGTTCAGTGCCAGGGTAAGTGTTTCGGTCAAGGCCAGGGTCAAAGGTCAGGATTAAAAAAAATGGTGTCAGTGTCAATGTCAGTGTGTTTTAGGTTTTAAAAAAAAAAAAAAGACAAAAAAACAATATGCGCACTGTTGTTTCTGGGCTGTACTACGGGTACAAACAACAAATAACATACTCATATATGGTATTGCTGCGATCATCAAGAGCTGGAGAATTTATTTGGGGTTGTTCTTTGATGGTAGGTTATGGTAGTAACAAGAAACACACAGCTAAATAAAAATTATTATTTTTTTTTTTTTTTTTTACTATTTTGGGACAGTTTTCCTTTGATAATAAAAAAAATCAGGAGATATCCATTACCATTTACCACTAATTGAAATCCCAATTTGTCCTGAAAAAAACAAAGGTATAATTCACCTAGATGTACAAAGTAGTTGTGATATGTACGGTTTTACTAACACATGTCAGCGTTGCAAAATTGTGCTTAGGCATTTAGATATGTTTTACCTTAGGCATGAAGGGGTTAACCAAACTTCTCATAAATGTCAGAGGTTTGTCAGAATGGCCAGTCATTTGGCTGTGTTTAGGCTGCTGTAGGTATGCGCAGGCACCAGTATTAGCCAGCATTGTGTCAGTTTTTTTTTCACCATGAATAAGTCTTTTTGACAGTTCCTTATTATCCAAGCTGAAATTCAAAAACTGTATTCTTTATACATAACAGATATTGTTCTTTTTTGACCGGTCATAGAACAACTACATGTTTAAAGTGACATTAAACCCAAGAACAAAATTTTTATTGCAGCAGTTCTTAGATGTAGTGGCTGCATTTGTTTTAGTTTTTACCTGCTGATCTGACCAAGAAGTCTTTTAATAATTTTTAAACTTGTTTTAACAGAACAAGTTGTCCACTGTCCAGGAAAAAATAGCAGTTAGGAAGTTAATAAAAAATGGCCAGCTTTTAAACACTTATGTAAAACCTTCATCCCAAAAGGTAAAACACAGTTGCTTTAACAGCTTACAAAGTGTTAGCTGGAGTTTGTCTTTAATTTAATTAATCCATATAAATTTACTAGTGCATTGAACACTGCCAGATTGAAAATGCTGCTGTCCAAAAAGAAGTCTACGCTACTTCTCCATGAAGAGCACCCTCAGAAAGGAAGTGCGCTATTGGCCAAGTCACCAGGTGAAAATAAACGAAAAAAAAAAAGCCTAAAAAACAATAAGGGTAATCAAATCCTCACATGTAAGAATTAGCAAATACTGTAGCTGCTGACTTTTAATAAAAGGACAATTACCTGTCCAGGGATCTAACATGGTCCTCACCCGGTGCCACCATGCTAACTGTGGGAAGCTGGCTGTGACTCCTTGGGGCTTGACAGCCACCCCCACCTCCTTCACGTGCTGCACTCTATGGTTCCGCAGCCTACTGCACCTGGAACGCGTCACAAGAGGCTGAAGGCAGGGAGGTGGGGTGTGTGAGGGTTGGTAGGGCAATGTTCCACAAAAAGTTAAAGGGGAAGTGGGCAGAGAAGCAGAACTTCCCCCTAGGAATGAAGTTCCACTTTAAGCTGTAAAACAGATTTCCTTTCTAGGAGATTCTTTTTATAGTCTATTCCTATCAAATACCAAGGTAGACATTTATCAACAGTTTACAATTTTTTTCCAAGCATACCAGGACAAGTTTCTCCAGATCAAGAACCAGATTTTGAGTCATGTCTTCCTTGCTGAGGAGCAGCTGCTTCATCTCACCAGGGTTGAGCCCCATGGTCTTCGTGTGGTGAGATCCATCCACTTCCATCATTCCTCCGTCATCCCCAGCAGCCTACACAATGAAAGGTCATAATTTTAACACAAGTAAATCAAATATATCTGTAAAAATCTTAGTATAATGTACACTTATATTTTAGTGTATGGTATGTTTTTGTACAGGCTGTAGTAAATTTATATAAAGTACAAATATCATAGCTTTTGATTTGGTCAATAATGAGAGAAATCATTATTCATCATTAAATACAAATTAGAAGAATTTCAGAAACTAGACATGGATTACATAACAGGGCAGTTAATTTCCATCAATGAAATCACCAAGGCAAAGGTACGTCAATCCAGACTGAGTAATATATAGGGATGCACCAAAATTTCGGTGGCCGAAGCGTTTCGGCCGAAAACACCCCTTGCGGCCGTAGGCCGAAATAAAAAAGAGCACTGATACAGGACGAAAAAACCCGCCCCTCCCGCCGCCTGGTAGTTCAGTCTTACCTGAGAAACCATCAAGGGATCCCGGTGCTGGGCATAGCGAGGAGTGAAGGAAAGATGGCCTCCACTCATCTCTATGCCCTTAGAGGACGGGAGTGATATCACTTCCGGTTCCGGCCATTTTTTTACATTTTTTTTTTTTAAAGCACTGGATCAATGCTTTTTTTTTTGATCCAATGCTTCTTCACAATGCAGAGGAGAGTTGTGTGGGGTCTTATTGACCCCATCTCTCTCCATAAACAGGACCTGTCACTAGTTATTTCTATCACAAGGGATGCATGCATTTTTTGTGATAAGAATAAAAGTGATTAAATTTTTTTTAAAAAGGGACAGTGCAAAAAAACAAGGAAAAATATCAAGTAGCCTCCCTAGCAGTCTGATTATGTCAGTATTTCTGTGCTCAAAGCGGTACATTTTTTTGCATGGAAATATGTAGTTTTTTTATTGTAGGCCTGTAAGTTTTAGGAATAACTGACTGAAATCTGTCCGAACAAGAGTCTAGTAAACATCCCGGGTATGTTAAAATTTGCAAACACGAAATCATAAATTATAATTTAAAAATCATAAAAAATAATAATATAACATTAAATTTAATTCAATAATATAATCAAACCAAAAACACTGAAATTTGAAATATAGCGCCAAGTTCGCACATCACTGAGCAAAGTCGCAAAATCGTTTTCAGTGTCTGATGACGAATTTCCCCACGAATCATTATCACTCAGTTCTGCAAGTAGTTCTAATTTACTATCACTGTTCTCTAGCTGGTCTAAAACCGCTTTTGACCTAAAGGGACGCTTTTTGATTGCCATGGACATTTCTCAGTTTCCAGGCAGAAAGAACAGGAAAAATGCAGGCAGGGCACAGGACAAAGCACTCGGGACAAAATGTATGTGAAATGGTTTGATACAGTAATGTTTTACTATGTGATGTTAGTATATTTAGTGAATGTCACTTTTTGACATTTTTAAATTTCCCGCCAGTTCTGTCCCCCGTACGTCCCGAACGCCGCAGGGAACGGAACCTGGAAGACAGATGCCGGCATCGGCCAGAGGACATTGCCGGGGACGCTGCAGGGGGGACATCGTGGGAGTGAAGAGATCCCGGAGCAACGCTGCAGTGTATTTCCGAGTGTAGCTCGGGTTACCACTTGTGGTGCTGAAAGTTTACCCCGAGCTACACTCTGGAATACCTCCAGGGAGGTTAAAAAAAAAAAAAATTTAAAATGCCCCCCGTGCTCGCATGTAGTAGTGAATGCATTCGTAGGCCATGCCCACATATGTAAATGGTGTTCAAACCACACACGTGAGGTATCGCCATGAACATCAGAGCAAGAGCAATAATTCTAGCACTAGACCTCCTCTGTAACTTTACACTGCTAACCTGTAGACATTTTTAAAGCATCACCCATGGAGATTTTTAAGTACCGCAGTTTCAGGCCATTCCACGAGTGCAATTTTAAAGCGTGACATGTTGGGTATCTATTTACTCACCTTAACATCCTCTTTCATATTTTACAAAAAATTATTTTTTTTTAATCAAAGTGTATTTTTTTCCAAAAAATATATATTCAATCTTCAAAACTGAGCATTCCGGTTTTCGGCCAAGTGCATTTTGAATTCTCTGTTTCGGCACCAGAATTTTCATTTCGGTGCACCACTACTAATATGTAACATATTTCTTTGCTGCAGGAATTGTGACCTAACCAATAACCCTCAGTTTTATCTTGTGGTGCTGTCCAAGAGCACAGCAATTTCCAAAAGACTTGAAAATGCTACTTGACATCACTGGTCTACAAGTTTGATTAGACCCCTTTGTATGTGGCTTTTGGACAGCCCATTCAAGGGCTTAACTCACCCACTTAAAGACATATGAATCCATTCGTATCAATGGTTAGATAACTAATCACTGGAAAGATCTTTCCCTCAATATTTGTAAAAATTTTAATATATTTCTGAAACTGAAGAACAACTATACACCAGATTAAATAATTAAATTGCAATTATTTTAATTAATATATAAGTGCCTGAGTGAGTGAACTTTGGAGTTTATCTGCCACAGCAATTTAATATAAACTCATCAATGCTGACCACCTTCCTATTTCCCACTATCTTTTCTTCTTCCCCCCTTTAGGCTCCATTCACATAAGCACATATCCAAAGTCACGCTATATCCAGTGCGCCTTTGGAGCGTGACTTTGATCAGACTTTACTGATCAAACTACTTTGAAGTCGCACAGATTTGAATTATACTCATTAGGAAACATGGGGAGCAACCTGCCATGTGACTTTGGGCCCCAAATGTCGCACAAGTGTGCTCTTTCATCTCTGTTTGACAGGCCAGGTTTAATGCTTCACAAGTATACCTTACCATCCTAATTTGGCTCTTTGAAGTGATTTTGTTTTTCTTTTTTTTTTTTTATTCTTACCTCTGAACTTTGTTTTCAATGTGTTACACAACTGCACACAATGCTCATCATGCACTCAGTTATCTCGAAAAACATTTTGCGAGCACTTACTAGGAACTGTGCAGCCCAATGCCTGGTACACATGGGCAGGATATCAGCTGGTTAAACAGAAACAAGCTGACATTAATCCAGCGTGTACCGCAGCCTGTCTGGCTTCTGTAGAATAGGCATGCTGGAAAAACATCTGCTCGTCGGCATCCGGCAACAAGTATTGACTGCTGTGTACGGGGGGGGGGGGGGGGGTCCCCGTCCCCGTCTGAACACAATAGCTCAGCTGGGAGAGAGCTGTACTAACATTGCTTAGCTCCACAGTTTTTTCCCATTTAGCTCGCTGGGCTGAATGTAAAAAAAAAAAAAAAAAAAAACTACAAGTGTGTAACAGGCTTTACAATTCTGAGGTATGAATCTCAATCGAAAACCCCAAGAATGCAGACCCGAGACTACCATATTTATAATCAGATCACACATACAGAGTTATAACAGTACAATATTTTGGGCCACCTACCCCTTCTACAGGTGCAGTTTTAACACCCCACCACTTCAAACATTTGTAATGATAAGTATACCCCTTGTATCCCTTCTAAATACTTCCCCCTTATAGGTACTCACTTCCTTCTGTCGGCACTAATTTGGCTTAGGAGTTAGGACACAGAACTCAAGTATAGAAGAGACATCACCCATTAGTTTTAGCAAATGGTGAACTTCAAAATATGCTCTTTTTTATGCTAATTTCATAATGCATTGATTTACTTGTATACAATCATTTTAAATAACAGCGAAAAGGCAAAACAAGAGGTCTACTTGCCACTGAGTCAGAGTTCAGGATCTGTCTCATGAAATCCAAGAATGAAGAAGCCAGTTCTCCCATGTCCTTGCCAAACCCACATACAATTCTCTTCAATAATAAATAGAGTGCAGTGCTGTGTTTCCTAAGAGAGCTGCAAGAAATCATAGCAAAATAAATGTAACACAATCTTATACTTCTACGCTCCCCAAATTTCCAGCTTGTTTTAGATTTCTCAGTACCTCTTTAAGTGGTAAAAGCCATAATCGTGCTCAGAGAGGAACATCATAGTGCGAATACAGGTAAGAAGTGAAGTGTAACTGCTGTCATTGTTGCCTAAACTCTCCATCAAACTTTCACAGACAAATGGAAGGAGATCCTTGCTAGGCAGGGAGTTAGCAAGCTGGTCTAATTCAGATACTGGGCTTTCCCCTGAGCTTGGCAGAATGAGAGCAATATCCTACAAGAGGACAAGAAAGTTATTGTTATAAATTAAAACAATTAGTGCATTTTCTACTGCAATGATTGGTCAGAGAGCTCTACCTGGTCACAGAGGTACTGCACAATGGAGGATATATACTCTGCACACTGCTGGTGGATGATGTTGTCACTTGCAGATTTCATGACGTTCAGCATCTTTTGGAAAATTTCATTATATCGCTCATCACCTTTACCTCCGTTAATAAGATGAAGAACAGCAACTTTGCAAGCTCTGGGCAGCTAGGGAGTCCAAGAGCGCAAGTAGACGAGCTGTCTGGCCTGTACACGGTTTTTCTTTCTCTTCCGGACCACTGAAATAAAAGAAATCCAATTAGCTTATTTTATAATTTACTGGCAGACATGCAGACCCTTGGGGGGGGGGGCTTGATGCACCTGCAGCCTTAAAGAATAACTCCACTTTTGTGGGGGAAAAAATAGCAAATTAAATAATAAATAGTATAGCGTATATGATTGTGACACAAGTCATATTGTAATTGAATGTTATTAAAAATTACCTTTCCTTTTCAATCATAAAAGCTGCAATTTTCTTTAAAATGCAAATGGAAATCTGGAGGTGTTTTGCACACAGATAGTGTACAGAACAGCCCCTAGAAATGTAATTTCATGCTTGTGTGATTGGTTCACTGATTTTCCCAGATGTCTGCACTAAGATACAAGTCAGATTCTGGGCAACAAGCTATTTCTTCTGAATAAGAAAAGTAGGAATCTGCAACAAAGTTTGTTAAAATCCTTGCAATGTACATAGATGACAAAGAGGGGAATGTTTTTTTTTTTTGTTCTCAACAAATGTGGATTAAGGATGATGAACTCAGACTTCACTTCTACTGTACAACATGCTTGAGCTCTATGCCAGACACTAGCTAACTAGGGGCATACATTATTAGATTAGCTCTTCAGCAAAGTTACGGCCAGTGTGGACAAGCTTTTGTCGCCATCAAAACAGATTCTATCCCATGCAAGTCAATAGGAATACGAGAGCGGCTTGAAACAGGCCAACTGCAGGTTAGTAAAATGCACCAAAAATTAATTCTGAATTTTACAAGGGTCTCAATTGGATTCACCCTAATGCACTCAAAACATCAAATTCTGTATAAGCAATCTGTTTAGAATGCTTACATTAAAGACAAACAAATGTAGATACGAAGCAGTTCATTAACCGGATTCATTAAAATACCATTGTTAGGTTTAGACTAGTCTGACATTTGTTATTTTCAATCATAATTTGCAATGTTTGCACACAGAGTGTTGTAACATGTGCAACTTTTTACAATAAAGAAATAGAGCAACAAATATTAGGTACAGTGTTTAAACATCTAATGATAATTCATAGCCCACCATATGAATGTTAAAATAAAAAATAAAATAACACCTGCTTTCATCCTTTCTGTTGTACAAGAACATTCCATCTTTACTGAAAGAACCATAACTGCCCTGGAACTGGCATCTTTGCCTGGAGTACAGAATGTCAGACGTAGAAGCAGATTTGAGGTGGGTTTCCCCAAATAAAAGGGCTTTACATTCTCCACCCAGAGATATGCGAATCTCAAGACTTGAACAAAACCACAAATCCTTTGGCAAGTAAAACAGCTGCCTTATATACATTTGTTTTGTGTATTTAGCTTTTTGCCAGGAGTTCAGCTTCGGACATCATAATTATGTTGACAGACTTGTCATATTGATAAATAAATGGGAGTGTTTGAGGGTTTTTATGTGCAATTACTTGAGAAGCGTTGGTTTGTAAAATATACATAGAAGATTAAATCTACACCTACCTCTGCAGATCTTCCACTATGAGGTCCAATACAGTGCGCATAATCAAAAGTGCAGTGGGTGAGGCCAGGTCACACAGCTGGATACAGACTCGCCTTATCATATGCAGCAGAGGCTGGCAAGATGTCCCAGAGAAAGACTTCACAATATCTTGAAGCAGCTTAGAATGAACATGTAGGTGCATACTCCACAACTTCCTGGTGTTCAGAGCCACTGCAATGTCCTGTGGTTCAATAGCCTGAAAGACAACACAGACCCTCATCAAAAGCCACTTCTTGGAGAACAATCATCTGTGGTTTGTTATGAATGATGATCTGAGCTTTAATTGATCACAGCAATCAAATCTTTTACCTGAGTTGTTTGCATTGGAAGTGGGAAGGGTAAAAGTTCTGACAATATGACAAGTCCAGAGAAGAATCCTTCAGGAACTTTTAAGTTAGAGGAAAGCACTTCTTTGAGCATCAATGACCATGTGTTATTAGCCAATGTTTCCTCAGAGATGGTCATCTTCTCATTTACACCTTGGGTAAAAGTCAGAAGGATGTCTATGATGTCACTTTGGATCTTCTGCTCTTCACCATCCAACCTTCCAGAAAGAGGTATGGAGCAGAGGAGCATGTGCAAGGTGACCAATGTGGATGGAACACGCATGTCCTTAAACTCAAAAGAGCCACCTCTCAATAGCTCAGTCAGCATTGTTTTGAGTAGAGACAAAGTGCAGCGGGCTACAGAGATTGTGATTGCCCTGTACAAAGTGGTCCCGAGGTTGACATGAAGTCTCCATGGTTGGATGAGGATGCTATTCATTTTCTGTAAAATGCGAATGAAAGTGTCCAGTCCCTCAGCTGAGAAAAGCTGAATGACAGCGAGATTCCACTTAAGATCCTTTTGCTGTCCTGAAAAATACAGGTTAGTATTAGTATATAGTTGAAATACAGTTATAATAATGAGTGATGGTAATATTTTTCAGCACTGCTAACAAAACTTGACAACTTTATAGGATATTGCATTAAGTTATTCTATAAATTATTTGATAATGTGAACCCTTTATATCACGTTGTGTTGTTCCATTCCAAACATTCAGAGGCAGGTCTCAAAATGATTTGGTTTTTGGAAGTCAGACACAAAATAATGGAATAGTGACTGGGGATGCAAACCAATTTGTACAGCACCATTCTTTAAATAGGGTTTCCAGATGTCCACGAACTGAGGAAACCATCAGCAAAGTGAATCCGTCCCTGCATTAAATATGGCATCCCTAGCCCAGAAGAGCTGCAGAGTATTCTGCCTAGACAAACCTTTTTTGTTTACATTTGATGCTTGGAGGAAGAAAGGGAGCGTGCATTGGTTCACAAGGGCAGTCTCCCCACCTCCTGGATGCACAGACGAGGCGAGTAGGACCTGAGGAGTTAGATGAAGAGTCCATGTGCTGGTAAGTAAGCAGGGCCGGGAAGAGGGGATATAGGATGGACAGAGAGATGAATCCAGGAGCTGTCTATGTGCAATGGTGAAAGCGGGGGAGGGGACAGGATGGACAAGAGAGCAGGGTTGTCTGTTACTGTGTGTGCCGGCCGGCAATCTCCGCACTCTTATTACTGACCCCTGCACTCTGTTACTAACTACTGACCTCAGCACTCTGTGCTACATACTACTGACCTCTGCACTCTGTGCTACATGCGCCTGACCTCAGCCCTCTGTTTCACTTACTACAGATGCCAGATTTCAGTATTACTTAATATTGATCCTTGAACTCTGCATTACTACTGACCCCCGCACTCTGCGTTACTTACTGCTAATCTGTGCACTCAGCATTATTACTGACCTCTGAAACCTACACTTAAAAAAACCCTTCTGCCTGATCAGTCTATGATGATTCCCCAGGAGGCCACATCATTCCGATCCTTAATCATCCCCCCATATGACTGTATATTGTCACAATTGCCTGTTTCTTGCTTATCTATTGTCATGCTTTTGCATCTGTTGCACATGCAACAACTGCAGCATTAGTGACATACAGAAGAAAAAAAAAAGGAGCAGAGTGTGTTTCACACTACTGGCCTCTTTAATTTAATCAAAACCCTTTAAGCTTCTCTTACGTTTAGCAAAATTTGGCCACACTTATCATTTGGTGCTCTGTGATTACCCCGTTCCTGCTACACCCCCAATAAAAGTGGCTGTGGTGTCTAGGGATTGCATTTTGAAAATCTGGTCACCTTTCCTTAAAAGTACAACTAACTGATACTTTTCCATTTACAAACAGTGCCATATTTTTCCATTATTAGTGGGTTTTAATGCAAATTCTCTCTCTTTAAAAAGGCGTTCTAAAACTGAACCACAGCACTGCTTTTTCCAAGATCAGCACAGTTCTCATACCCAGATCCCACTTGCGCTTTTACCCTGTAAGTCTGGTTTGACTACTGCAACCCACCTCCTTACATCCATTTCTACAGACTAATATTACACATCCTAAAAATATTCAGCTGCATTGGTGAGTAGTATTTAATGTCACATTTTGTACATACCCTCAACAGCAGCTGGTGGGCAAGCCACATGACAAAGAATCCTAAGAGCAGTCAGCAGTCCAGCACCCTCCAGGGCCATCAAATTGTCAACATTCTAGTGGAACAAATAAGATAAATACAGCTATGCAAAACACACATAACATGAACATCTTAGTACTGCAACAAGTGGAGAATCTGAACCTTTGTTTTGACATGGTAACATATAAACCAGAAATAAAAGCGTGTAACCTTGAGTACCTATTTGTACCCTTCACTAACACCCCAGGAACTCCAAACTCTAGAGAGCCTGTACCCGTCAGACCTAAGGGCTACCAAATCCACTTGTGACATCTAAAAGAGGAACTGAACTCTAGAAGCTCTGCCAAAAAATGACAGAAGGTTACTTATCAGTAATGCCTTCAGTCTCCCTGCAACTGATCTTTCCCCATTGCCATGTCTTGCTATCAACTGTGTCTCAGTATGGATGCGACCATCTTAGTCGAGACAGAGCTTTACTTCATATTAAAAACCCCAGGAAGACCAACAGTGAGCAACACAGTGGTTACCAAACCTCAGATTGCCAAATAAGTCAGAGGCAACAGTGCCTTTTCTTTTTGAGTTCAGGCCCACTTCAGAGATCAATAGTAAGGTAGAAATGTGAGCGGTACAACAGGCACTAAAAGGTTGCTGTAAAGAGTAATAAGGAGTAAGCCTTTCCTGGAAAAAAACACTGCTATTATCTCTATGCAGTGCTGCTCATACAAATCACATGATCAAGCATTTGGTTGCATATTCTGCTAAAATGGAAGGTTAGTTGGTATATTTTTAGCAAAATCACATCGCCAAACGCCTAGGTGACATGGAGCGAGTCTGAAGTAACATTTTCATTTGGAGAGGTAAAAACCTCTGTTCTTTGGATCCTCTATTTTTTCATAAAAGCAAGAAAGTATGATTAGTTTAGCATTAAAACGGATTACTTCATGATATTCTTGCTTAAAGCTGTATTAAATCCAAAATCAAAAATGTAATATATTGCAGCATACCAATCATTAGGTGTGGTGGCTGCATTTGTTTGTTTTTTTTAGGCTTTTTCCCTTCTGTTTTCACCTGGTGATCTGGCCATTAACACAGCTCCTGTATTAGAGTACACCTACTTTGGATGAAGGCGAACAGGGAGGCACCTTTGGGCAGCAAAATTGTCAGCCTGGGGAGAGGGGAGTGTTAGATATACTAACAAATTGAAGCTGAACTTCACCTAGCACTTTATAAACAGTTACAGCAAACAGCTTTATTCCTTTTGGGACATCTGCAGGACAGTTTGTTCTGTTGAAAAACAGACTTACTGGCCAGATCACCAGCTGAAAATAAAATAAAGCCTAAAAAATAAAACTAGTACAGCTATCACATCTAAGAATTGGTAATCTGCAATATAAAATATGTTTTCTTTTGGGTTTAATTCCACTTAATAGAACAAAAAAACAAACAAACAGTCTTTGCCACTTACCTGTTTAATATAATCAATTAGGTTGGGGATACAATTTATCTCAAAGCGAATAGTTTTCAATGGCTCTAACCATTTAGCAAGCTCTATAAAAGAAAAAAATAGTTATATAGACTGGATATTTTAGAAATTAAGAACCGGATATTAATTTGTAAACTTGAGTATGACCACCAATCAAATAATATGAGGTTAGCTTCATTCTACATTTTATGAGCCCATATATTATGCAGAGTTGCATATCACACAATTGTTGAGGGACACATATCACAATGTTCATACAAAACAAGTATGAAACCAGCACTAAGACTGAGACCCTGCTTATGACTTTTCTGGCGTCCACTGAGGAACACAGGAAGTCTCTAACTGTTGGCATTATGTTGCCACCTGCAAATGTATTGGACACTGACAAAAAAACTGCAATCTAGCCCAGACAGAGAGATGGTACCTGTGAGTCCCTCAATGATTAAAAGAAATAAAAGTACTTTTAAGCTGAAAACAGAAATCCTATTACCTTTTTCGTCCACTGAGAGACACAGGTCTTTAACCTTTGAGATGCCCAAAAGCATTCCAACTGAGGGGTGGACAACACGCGAGCATGAGGTCCAAGAAAGCAATTCAGTACTTTTTTTTTTCCCTCTAAAACTGTAGTCACATTAACTACCTGTAATGAAGGATGTCCAACGAATGTGCAGGCTACTGGATGCTGGAGAAATCTTCACTGCAGGGATGGCTATTCTCTAGCTATGAACTTCTGGCACTGTGAGGGTTACCAGCTTCAGGTCTCCAAGCTCAGCTGCACTGAAGAAGATCAGATGTGAACCCGCACCCTCTTGCCCTCTCCTCCACAGATAGCTTCTTTCACTGACTAAACAGACTGTGACACCATTTGTGACTGGAGGAGAGTTATGAGTCACAGGATTCTTTCCCCCATTCACAGATATGAAAGACTGAAACAGCACTGATCAAAGCAACAGGCTCACCCTTTAGTTTAAAAGTAATGCTCATTGCAGATAAGAGCCCCAATGGTCTCCTTTAGTTTGAGAGTGAGGGTTCATGCACATGGGCGGTTTGGTCTGTACAATGTAAAAACCCCATGTTTTTGGGTGCAAGGGAGACATGTGCAGTGACACCTGCAGCATTCTAAAATCAGGGATTCTGCAATCACATACGACTTTAAAACCAAATTACCACTCTGAACAGTGCTCAACCGAAACATATTTCAGCCCGCCAGTGATTTTGGCAAGATGCTGGCAGCGAGCTGTACACGTGCACATGTGCCCCTCTTCTGCCCAAAAATGCCAGGTTTTATGACGTACAGGCCAAACCACCCATGTGAATGAGCCCTAATAGTGATTCTAATAGCGATTGTGACAGAACACACTAAGATTAGAGGATAGCCAGATTCCAGGCTGCAGACATTGGCACTGTCAAACCACCCAGTGCCAAACATGCTAATAGAATCTGAAGTTGAGGGCAACCAAAACAGATGGACTGTCCCCTACAAATCTAGAATAAGACATGTTCTAGCCACAGGGTATGAGGCAATGTCTCAGGTTCCCATGAAACCCAGACAACTGACAGCAGGGAAAGGTCAGTTAAGCAAAGGTGGCCGAAGTCACCGTAGGCAGATAGCAGGAATGAATAACAAAGTTCCACATGGTTCTTTGCAAGTAGGAACAGCAGCAGATGCTTCCTTCAGACTGGTGAAAAAGAGCACAAAGTTTGAGTGACTCTAAATTTGACAGATGATATCAGTCCTGCAGTGTTAGCTCCTTCCAAAGCAAAATCAGAGAAATGACAAAAGCTGAGGCAATGTCAACGGTTTTGGACTTCGAAAACACTCCACAACCTTTACCATACCAGTGTCCTATGTGGAGCCCAATGGCCACAGATCACACACACAGGCTATCCCTTCCACATCGAGTTCAGTGAGGTCTGGACGCGGCACTCCAAAGCCAGTCTGAGGACTACCATACCAGAATGCTAAAATTGAAGAGAGAAAGCTCCAGCGGAAATCTAATAAATCTTGATTGAGAAGAAAAAAAGTTAATCTCAACACAATGAATGAAGGAAAAGCATCCATTATCTTAGGACATTAGCAAAAAACTGAGTCAAGACGGTAAAAGATGGAGCTTAAAGGGTTTTGGTGGGTTTTTTTGCCAGTGTCCAATCCTGCTATAGGCAGACATATAATCTGAAGGTTAAAAACTGTGTGTTCCTCAAAAAGGACAAAAATAAATATTTGTTCTTTACATTTTACAAAATTAGCAAAACGAAAAGATTCAATATCAATAGGAACCTTGCTGCAAAAAAGCTAAACTTTCTCCCACTGACAGATGTCCAGATTCTCTCCCCTTTCCACATTGAGATTGGGGCAATTTTTCTGCAGTTCTTTGATCTTCATTCTGGCCCCTAATGACATTATTGAATAATAGTGCCCATGTGCACTGATTAGAAAGAAAACCCACACTGCATATAGGTTTCTACTGCACAATGATAACCTATAAACAACAAGGAAGCACATGTTAACTGGATCCAAGAAACCTTAAAGCAAACTGTCATTTTTGTAAATTGTATTTAACCCCCCAGTAGACCAAGTGTATATAGCACTTGCTCCTGTTCTGATCAGTGGCCTTGTTGCAGACACACTCTTACATGCTGGATTGTAGCTCCACCCCCTTTTGATGCCCAAAGTAAAGTACCTGCCATGTGTGTGCGTGTAGAAGCAGCTGCAGATACATTACACAGAGTCGCAGCTCTGGGTGATTTTTCATTTCTATGAATGAGCAACACTGACTGCTCATTCATGACAGTGACAGAACACTCAGCACTGTGGCTCTCCGAATATCTATCAGGGCTGCTTGCACACATACACAGCCTTGCCGATGGATCAAAGTGCTGTGTGAGCTTTCACCATGAAGGAGCGATCGCCGATGTCAGGATCTGTGCCGTGCATAACAGCCCAGCACTGCCGATTGCTCATTCATAAAACTGAAAGATCACACAGAGCTGCAGAACTGTGTCACCCATCAGCCAGACTGTGCATGTGTACATTTTGGATAGCATTTTTTATTTTTAAACACTTGTGTCCCAATTGGGCTTTCCTGCCTAGTACACAGAACAGGAATAGGAAATGTAAAATTACTTCCTATATGCTAGCTGTGAAAATCAAGTGTTGGCTTATCTGTCCGTTTTGCCACATGCACTTTTTGCTGGAAGTAAATTGATGAGCTGCTAGCTACTCTTGCTCAATAAAATGGATGAGATAGAGAGATGCAATCTATGCAACCCAGCATGCAACCGGATCCATCTTCTACAATGTAAACAACATGTCTCAGAAGAGTCGCACAACACCAAAAATAAACACAAAGGACTAACTGGAATGTATTAAGCATAACTTACCTTGCAGTTTGGCATTGTTCTCATCTGCCTTACACAACTTGAGCAGAGATGCAGAGTGATCCTCCAACATCTGAACATCATTTGATGTTTGCACCACGAGCAACACAAGCAGACAGGCATAGTTATAGGCCACAGATTTCTTCGATTTTGCATCACTGAAATGAATATTTACACATTGTAACGATTACAGTTCAGTATGTGATGTGTTAAAGTGACTGTAAATGTTCTTTTTATACTTACCTGCTCTGTTTTGCACAAAACAGCGTGATCCTTCTCTTCTTGGATCCCCCGCAGTCCTTCTGGCTCCTCTTCTTGGTACACCTACCGGTTCAATCCTAGGCCATGCTGCCTGTGTCCATAGACACGCACACAAGATTTGAGTGACAGCAGCAGCAGCCATTAGCTCTCGCTGACTCAGCAAAGCCTGTGTGAGCAGGAAGAGATTCTACAGACAGGCATAGGGCTGGATCTAGTGAGGGCACAAGTATAAGCATGGGGGGGGGGGTGTGTTGAAGAGGTGGGAGGTCGATACAAGTACTGCACCACTTACCTTAATGCAAGGAATGCACTATGGTAAAAATGTTTCGGCTTTATAATCACTTTAATTTTACAGGTGTTAGCACTAAAGAGCTTCACCATGCAAAACTGACATTTGTTTCTGGCAAAGCATGGAATAGTGAGCAGCACTGTGCATAATTGGTAAGTAGAATCAAGTTAAGAGGAATCTGGTTGCCATGTTGTTTTCTAAAGTTTCTGGCTCTGTTTTGTAAAAATCACCCACAGAAATGAACAGATTTCAAAAACTGGGTAGAAAAAAAAAAGAAAAATGACCGTTGGCTCTGAACACGTCGTTTTATACCTAGTAAATGCTGCATATACAGAAAAAACAGGTTTCGATTTGTCCTTGCTGATGACCATCTAAATGAGAATTGCAAACAGGAAAAATATATTACCCAAGTGCTTCCTTTGAGCAGAACTCCATTAAAGTTATGAGACATTGCAGATTCTTGTCCAGGCTAAAGACATGGGCCACAGCAGACCTGCCAACAGGATTGAAGCTGATCAGGTAAAGGTTGTGAAGGATCCCCAACAAATTAGCATGATCGGCCTCTTCTGCGCCTGTACAATTCTGGAAATGGTGGAAGAGTTCAGAGATGTACTGCAAAGCTTGGGTGGCATGCAGGAGCCACAAGGCACAAGAGTCTTCGCTGTTCCCCTCCGTTTGCAGATTGTCCTCCTGATCTTGCTCAGACACCTGGCAAAGGGCTCTGGCGATCAGGTTTGTTGCTTCATTCTCAAACAACAGAAACAGGAGGCCCTTCTGCGACTGTGCCAGAAACCGCAATATCTCTCTTACAGCTTGAACAATCCCAGGGTGAGAGCTTGTCCCTGGAAGAGACAGAAGCACCGTTGCAGATTCCAAGAATTGGTGACTGTGCAGGAACCTGAGAGAAGAATACAAAAGAAATAATTCATTATAGTGAAGAACTCCTCAATGCAAAGCACATTTTATTATCTATTACAGGTACTTATATACCGTCTTCAATTTACGTATATATTGTACATTTACCTCAGTCCCTAACCCTCAAAAAGGGAGTACAATCTAAAGTCCCTAACTTACATTCATACATACACATACTAGGGCCAATTTAGACAGGAGCCAATTACCCTACCAGCATGTCTTTGGAGTGTTGGAGGAAACTGGAGTAGCCGGAGGAAACCCACGCAGGCACAGGGAGAATATGCAAACTCCAGGTAGGTGGTGTCATGGTTGGGATTCAAACTAATGACTGCCAGGCGGAAGTGCTAACCATTTAGCCACTGTGCTGCCCATATATTTTTATGCGAAACTTGAGCAGGGTCTCAACACAGTTCTGACTTGCTGGGTGAGACTTGAAGGAAAATCTCAGTTCCCCTCTACTGCAGCAATAAGCCGACTTTTCAGCTGAAGTGCATGTTTTCTTTTTGATCGAGTACCTACCTCCCACCCACATGCCATCTCAACCCCACAAACACAGGCTGCAGAGAACAAGGCAAGTACACAAAGGCCTGTAAACCTGCCTAAGGAAGACTGCATTTGGGAAGGTGCTTTATTGCTAAACCAAAAAAGTTAAACTCAGGCTCAAAGTTTATTACCTTTATCACTGGCCTAAAATAAGATATTCAAATAGTCATAGTAAGAACCGATTAGAGGATCCAGTAAAAAAAATTAAAAATAAAAAAAAAAATAAAGAAAAGGATTATGCCATCTTCTTTCCAGTAGACTGACAGGCTTGGAAAAAGACTGAAAATGTATTCATGAACAAGTCTCACTAAAAACAGCTACCTATTAATTTACTAGCAAAGAATAGGGGAGGTCGATTTTTTAAAATTTTTACATAGAAGGGGGTGAAAAATGCTGAAATACAGCCTTACCTTTATCACTGGTCCAATTAAGCTATTCAAACACCTTCCTAAAGTGGAACTTCACTGAAAAACAGAAGTACCACTCTTCCCAATTCTCCCTACCACAAGGAATGCAAAAACAGAAAAAAAAAATCTGCACACTATGGTGAACAAGCAAAAAGACCCATAGAAGTCAATGGCTATATCCAATGTCAGCCTCCAGACAGAAATAGGAAGGTCGTCTTGCTAGCGAATTGACTAATAAAAGGAAACCCTTAAATTACATCCTAATTTCAGAACAGAAGGAACCACAAGCATAACCTTTAACTATAGCAAGCAAGACATGGATCAGACTGCCTTCATCTTATTTCTTAGCTTCATTATATTGTAGGTGTAAGACTGTTATGGGCAAACCGTTGTACAGGGAACTGCAGAATGATAGTACATCCAATGTTGCAGCGATACAACACCAACTTACCGATATATGATAGGATAGGGGTCATCTCTTTCAAGAGGCCCGGTGATTCTGGCTGTTGTTGGGAAAGACTTTACAGGAGGCTGGATCATGGTGTGTGGTGCTGTCTCTAATACATGAAAAATCTCATTCAGAAGTCCCATCAATTTCTCCAGTTCCCCTTCGCTAATACTTGTAGATTCCAAGAGATTGTCCATATCCATAGGAACTTCAGCATCATTGTCAAAGTCACGGTTTGATCTCTCTGGAGCAGTTGCTGTCTCCTGTTCTCGCTCTCCAGTGTTTGAAGGAGGCGGCGTGCGGTCAGCTAACTGGTCTGCTGTTCTCTTTATGTCAGAAAGAACTTCATTAAAGTGACATTTCTGTAGCACAGCAGAACATGCTGTAAAAACTCTAACAGTCTGGTCCAACAAGATCAACTCCAACAGTCTCTGGTAACCACTTTTTACTTGCATCTCTGTACGGTTCCTTAAAAATGCATCCATGCCTTCAGTTGTACTGATGACACTGTCCAGGGATTTAAAAGCATTTAATTTGAGAGAAGACGACACATGTTCTGCAAACAGCAAGTCATACAATTTGTTGATGACATCAGCTTTTATTAGAGATTCTACAGCTCGAGTGCCACATTCTGCTAGGGAGGACACCAACTTTGTGCCAGCTTTCAGCTGTCGGACATTCAAGGCTATAGGCTGCTGCAGAGCCAGCTGCAAATCCAACGCTTGCATCGCCCAATCAACTAACTGGCTTAGATGGTCCCGTCCAGGCTCTTTAAGCTGCAGAAAGCTCAATCCTTTCACTATGAGGCTGGGTACTTCTTCTAGTGCTGTAACCCACTTTGCACCTCTGTCATCCTGATACAGATCCAATAATTCCAATAACTTTATTGATGTCTCACTGGCCCCAGAAGTTTCTTTATCAAGGTCCTGATCACGCAGCTTGTTAACTTCGTTCTCAAAAGCAGTTCTGTATGGGCAGTTGAAGTACAGGAGAGGGCCTAAATCACGATCATAAGGATCATAAGTCATGGTGGGCACGGATGCCAAGTCTTCAGGAGTGTAATCTATATCAAAACTTGGATATTTGAATGATTCTCTTTCAAAGTCAGCAATTCCATCTTCATCACTGGAGATCTGCTCATAACCGTCATCTCCTGGAAATAAAAAAAACAACTCTGGTCAGGAACAGGTCTAAACAATAGAACTGCAACAGCACAAGGACCAACCCTGACACATATATCACATACTGTGTATGAATAAAATTCTGTTCATGCTTGTTCAAGTGCATTAATCCAAAGTACTGAAGCCAGAGACTGTCAGTAAACTAGCATTTTAGGAGAGGTCAACAATGGAAACCTACAATTTTTTCAGTAAAGGTTTTCTTTATTTTATGGGGGTGCAGTTCTCTTTTAGCTCCATGCTTTTTCTCTGACGTTCGACTTATAATTTCCTCATTTCACCTGCAGCACTAACTACTAGTGGCAACCAGGACAAACATAAAACACAATTTCTTTCTTTAGGAAACCATTTCTAAAGTCTGACTTCAATAAAACCTACATTGAAATGATGACCTCCCTCTCCCAAACAGCAAGTTCCCTGGCTGTCTTGCAGATTTATTTTCGAAGGCAATGACCCAGATGTAGGCATATAAGTAGATATCACTTTGTGTGACTCTCAGGTGCTTAAAAAGTACTGGCAGGGCATACGATCTGACGTCATCGTTGTGAGTAAATGCTTTACTGAATAAACTTGTATAATTTTTTTACAGTATTATGCTATGTGCGGTTTATCATTTTCGGTCTGGGGAAGGGGAGTATAAGATGTACTAGCAGATGTAGATACACTAAAAAAACTGAAGTCATACGTCAGCTAACACTTTATTCCAAAGGGGAAAAACTGCTGTAACTGTTTATAAAAGTTTTTCATGAATAAATAAAAGCTGATCATTGTGATCATTGTAAGCACCTCTACCAGTGTTAGTGTCATCCCGGTAAACTGATACATTTGAAAAGAGCTTGTTCTTTTGAAAAACAACAGGTTTACTGGCCAGATCACCAGATGAAAATAATAGAAAGAAATACTAAAATAGAAAACTAATACAGCGATCACATCTAAGAATTGGTAAGCTGAAATATAATAAATGTTTGCTTTTGGATACATGGTGGTGGCAGAAAAGAGCATCATTTCGTTGCATCACACAAGGATAGTGCTACATATATTTATGTATAATATTATTTGATATGCTTGTGGATATTTCTAGGGGCTGTTGTCACATATATATGTATGCACACACATACATATATAAAAATTAGTAGAGAATAGTCACACCAAGTACAGTTAATTTGGGTTTTTAAGTAAAATCAGTGAGCCACTAAGACATTCTAACACAATTACATAGAACAAAATAAGAAACCCACTCAATTTCTCTTATTCATAGGTAAGCAAATGCTGCGTCATCCACATGATGCATTGCAAAATCTTACAGGGTCCATAGGAGTATACTTACTGAAGCCTGCAGCATTTGACCTCTCTCTCAGCATTACCAGTCACATTTGCGCTTTCATAGCAGTTTTGACTGTAACTGGCAATTCTGAGGTTTTTTTCTTAAAAACATTAAGCTTCTGGTGCGTCACAGGCAGAAACAACAATGTTTTAACACCACCAATAAGTGCATTCCAAGATTACCAGGTAAGTGAAAAAAAGGACTGGGAAGGATTGGTATAAGGACAACAACTGGATGAAAAAATTATGTACTGATTAGAAAGGATTTAGTCCTAGTACACAACACATGGTTTAATTTTTAAGATGCCATAGACAAAGACTGCTGAGTCTTTCTTGAAAATAACTTGGGGAGATGGGACTGGTCTAAACCTCTCCCTAAAATCTTTAGGACTCTTGACATAATCAATCTGCTCATTTCCGATACAGACAACACTAAGCTTAAATAGAAAAAAAAATCTTGGGGTCGATTTATGCTTTGCATAATACGCGCACTTGTGCATGCTATAAAGGGGCAGCGTGATACAATCTGCTTCACATTTAAAATTACAAAAAAAAAAAAAAAAAAAAAGACAAAAACACACACTTCTTCGAACTTTATGCATTGACATGTGGTGATGTGCATTGCACTGTGTAAAAATGCAGTCGTGCTGCATTTTTGCACATGCACACCAACTCACATGTATGGTGTGAACAGATCGAATAGACAGTTAGTGCCCGTGCACTGAGCCTACATTCATCAATGCATCTGGTGTGTACAGGCTCTTGATAAGTGCACGAAAAAAAAAGGGCCAAACCAAATTAAAAATAAAGGGCACCTTCAATTTCCTCCTCCTCATCCTCTTCATCATCTTCTTCATCAACAAGGCTGTCCTCTGTTTGAACATCATCCTCATCTTCATCATCTTCAGCATTGAGGTCATCGTCATCTTCTTCCTCCTCATCATCATCTTCTCCATCATCCTGAGGATCATCATCCCCTTCTTCTTCATCAGAGTAAGCACCATCAGGGTGAATAGATACTCGGTCAGGAGATATGGGCTCAAAGTAACCTTCCCTTGGTTCTCGCTCGTCTTCTTTTTCACCACCTAACGTCAAAGAGAAACAGGATCATATATAGGTATACAAAAGATATCAACAGTCCACATGGGCACCAAGAACTCAATGGAGCCTATGAAACATACAGAAAGCAGAAAATATTTAACCAATAATTTTTCAAAAACATGTTTGAAAGAAATGGAGACATTCCCAAATCATTTAATCTGGTTCCCCCATTCAATTTTCAATCTTACTATTACAGAATTTGAGTGCCGAGATCTAACTGGCGGTTACTGGCAAAACTTTCATTTAAAATTTTCCTCCATTTCCAAAGACCCCAAACAGTTAAGCATTGTTAATCCCTTGTATGTAAAAAGCATACAAGTGTTGCTAACCATGTTTAATGTGTGCCTTCATTGTCAATCCTGTCATTGCAATGTATTATGCTTCCTAAAATTCAAATTTTTTCTGTTTTAATGTGGCTCTGTTAAGCTACAGAGTGCTATGAAACCACCTTTGCGTGCATACGTTTGGCTTGGACTACAGCTGGAAATCCATACACTGCCTTTGCACAGACATAGGCAGACCTGAAGCTGAAGCCTAGAAATGCAAACCTTGCCTCTGCTCTTTTTCAATGCATGACTGCGGCTCCTCAGGCTAGGTCTAAGAACACCTGTTTCATTGCTGGTTATAATTATATTAAACGATAAGTTCCTCTTTGGGAACATGTTACATGTTCAACCCTAAAAACGGGTGGAACATTTAACATGTTCCCCCCCCCCCCCATGACAGCAGTAAGAAGAAAAGTTCCCCGTACTAGCTATCAGTTTTTGAAAACAGCTCAGCTGTGCGGGGCTCCACCCACACGACTGCATCATTCATTCACAGAGTTCTGAGAATGAATGAACTATAAGTGCCAACAGCCTTTGCGGCTTGTAGTTCTGAATGAACTACCGCGGCGCTTCTTGTCAGACTGTATATGCTTGCCCCAACAGGATCTACAGGTACACAGATACACTGACAGTTTTCAGGAGTCCTGATCGCTGGTGCAATGCTTTCCAGGTTCCAAAAAAACCCCGAAAAAAGAAAATGCAAATTTTTTTTACCAGCAAAAAAAAATAAATAAATAAAAAAAATGGGCATTTATTTATTTAAGTGAACTTACCCTTTAACCACTTGCCTACCAGGCACTTATACCCCCTTATTTACCAGGCCAATTTTCAGCTTTCAGCGCTGCCGCATTTTGATTGACAATTGTGCGGTCATGCAACATTGTACCCATATGAAATTTTGATCATTTTTTTCTCACAAATAGAGCTCTCTTGGTGGTATTTAATCGCCACTGGGCGCTTTACTTTTTGCGCTATAAATAAAAAAAGTGCAAAAAATTTGAAAAAAAAAAAAAAGTTTCTTTGTTTCTATTATAAAATTTTTCAAACAGGTAATTTTTCTCCTTCACTGATGTGCGTTGATGAGGCAGCACTGATGGGCACTGATAGGCAGCACTAATGAGGTGGCACGGATAGGCGGCACTGATAGGCAGCACTAATGAGGTGTCACGGATAGGCGGCACTAATATACAGCACTGATAGGCGGCACTGTTGATGGGTACTGATAGACGGCACTGACTGGCATCACTGCTGGTACTGACTGGCACAACCGCTGGGCACTGACTGGTGGCACTGACTGGCAGCACTGCTGGGCTGCACTGGTGGGTGGCACTGGTGGGCAGCACAGGTGGGTGGGCAAAGGTGGGTGGCACTTCTGGGCACAGGTGTGTGACACTGCAGAGTGGCACAGGTGGGTGCACTGCTGGGCACAGGTGGGTGCACTGCTGGGCACAGGTGGGTGCACTGCTGGGCACAGGTGGGCGGAGCTAGTGGGCGCACTGCTGGGCACAGGTGGGCGGAACTTGTGGCACTGCTGGGCACCGATCATCAGGGCACTGATCATCAGTGCCCTGATGATCGGTGCCGATCCTCGCTCTGACAACTGCCGATTCTCGGCAGTACTTTCCTCACGATTTGACAGCGTGAGGAAAGTGCAGCCGAGAACCAGCACTTGCATTTCCCTGTGATCAGCGTGTCATTGGACACCGCTGATCACGTGGTAAAAGGCCGCTGTGATTGGCCTTTTACCACATCACGTGATCAGCTGTGTCCGTAGGACACAGCGATCACGGAGATCGCTGGGTGTGCGCCCCCTGGGGCGCGCAGGAGAGCGCGTTCTGGGAGGACGTCATATGACGTCCACCCAGAACTGGCCGGCCGCAGTGCAGCCGTCATTCGGCTATCTGGGGTCGGCAACTAGTTAAAGTTGAAAAACATGGAGAGTTTATTACTACGTTAATTTTGTTGTATTGTAAGCAAAAGTTAAATAATTCCACACAAAAAGATTTCTTTATTTTGGATAATGTAAGCCAAGGTTCAAGCGCATCTCAAAGACAGACCTCTCCTATCTCTTTTGGACACTGCTCTTTCAAGCTCTTTCACCACATTAAACTTCTTCACATATTCTCATGTAAATTTCCTTACAGGGCATGCAATGACCCTTCACAATCTCCAAGCAACATATAGAGAAATGACTGAGCAACAGACTATGTGAGGTTTGAGGAAGATCTCCTAAACTAAACAGCTCTAAGGACACACAGAAGGATCAACCTTTGCCCCACTCCACCCAAAACAAGCCAGTGAAAAGAACTATCAAAATAAGGAACCAATTACTGGACTAGTACCTGCAGTTGGCATTGGCTCATCGTCATCATCGTCATCAGGTGGGGGAGGACCTGGTGGAGTCCGGGGGCCTCTTGGCTGTGGTCTTGGTGGGCTACCATTGTATTGGTCTTCCTTCTCTTCTTCAACTAATATAGAGAAGGACAAAATGAAAGAAATCAATCAGATGTGAAGCCACAAGCATACTACATACAATGAAAAAGAATACAATAGGCTTTGGGAATATCAGTGACAAAGCCGCAAAGCTAGTTGGATACACTTCAATAAAGAAATTTGTTTACAATACATTTAAATATTTACTACAATTGAGAAGTTATTTTTATGTACAATAATAAAAATGCAACAATACATTTGCCAAAATGATAATATTCTCTGTAATAGGGGAGTGTAGAGTTCAAGGAAGCCAAAGATTATCTTCACTGAATGTAAAGATTCCATAAAAAGGTTAAAGTAATGTTTGTTATAAAATGTAGATTGATTTAAAGTGGAGCTCCACCCAAAAGGGGAAGTTCCGCTTTAAGGACTGCTCCCCCGCTCCCCATTAAGGATTGGCACCTTTGAGGGGCGGGGGGAGCGGGTACCCAAATTTGACAGGTACCCGCCCCCACTTCCGGTCCAATCGCCTAGGCGATAGGAAGGTGTCCTCCCTCCCTCCCTCCCTGTAGTCTTTTGGGACACGTGACAGGTCTCAAAAGACTACAGGACCATTCATGAAGTGTAGCGCTACTCGCGCATGTGCAGTGGGTACCCAGCTGTGAAGCTGAAAGCGGTCACAGCTGGATGCCCACACTGAAGATGCCGGCCTCCTGGAATACAGGATGGCCGGTGAAACGTGCTGCGGGGGACACACCGCGGGACCGAGGGACAGGTAAGTGGCTGTTTTTTTAAAAGTCAGCAGCTGCAGTTTTTGTAGCTGCTGACTTTTATTTTTTTGACAGGGTGAGTGGAACTCCGCTTTAAATAGACAATAAATGTTTACTTTAATGTCAATTATGTTATATGTGATGCAGAGACAATGTCTTAGAATTTGACTTAAACTACAACAGTCAGATAGCAAAGTCTCCTATGAAAACCTATTAAAAAAAACAATATAAATATAGGTTACTCTAACCATGCTTTGGATTCCTCTTCATTCCAATCTGTTGGTGCTGTGGGGGAGGTGGGGGTGGAGGTGGTGGAGGGGGAGAATCTCGCTCATGGTTTATGATCACTCGGTCAACTGATCCATAGACAGCCAAAGTGAGGCAATTGTACCATCCCTTCAGCACAAGTCCATCTGTATTAACCTGATGAAAGAAAAACAAATACATTGCTAAATAAAGATAAATGATTCTTAGCAAGTTTCATAGATAAAAGAAAATACATTGTTTTCCTAAACTGCAACCAAGATTATACAATTTCTCATGTCAAAAGAATATAGAGATAGGTTCTATGGCTATACGCATGGCTTACATGTGTTATAAATGCATGGCAAATTCAGGTCAGCAAATTGCTTTTGACTTTAATGGAGACGTACACATGACATTTCAGAGGTTGCGGTAGACTTGCTTTGCACTGCAATGCTTTAAACCCAGCACATCTTCAAGAGGTGCAACTGAACTATACACAAAGAAGGTAAATCACAGCTTTTTCTTATCAAATGCTGCGCTTCCATTTTTGCAAAGTTCCTATAGAAAAATGAATGGCAATTGATGGCAGGAACCTTAAAGACAGAATAAATGTTAACACCCAGCTGTCTGCATAAAATTCTTCTAATGAACATTTGAAAGGAATCATTTTAAACAAACAAAAAAAAAAAAAAAAGACCATTTAGTTATATTTATACCACTGACTAAATTAGGTTGACCAAATAACAATGAAATGAAATACTCAGGTCCATCCCTATTCACACCTGCAGGAACTGGAGCGCTGCTTTACATTAAAAAGGAACAGAATTTTGGAAGGCAGACAAAGGCGAAGGACTGGTCACTAGTATTGCCAGTGGGCTTTTCTAAGCTGATCTTTCTGCATTAATGACTTACACTGTGCTAGGTCTCTGTGTGGAGGTGGTCATCATAGGTAGGGGCAGGGTTTTGCTTCATCATGTCAGACACACCAGCAAGGAGAAAAGTGAGAAGCCCAGTAGTGACATCACTAAATCTCCTGACACTAGCAATCAGTTATAAGGCTTTAAGCACATAAGTGCCTAGGGACCCTCACATACCAGGATGCACTGCTATGGTTAAGGAGGAATCTCAGAGAAAATGTACATTTTCAGAGTCTATCAAGCACCGTTAAAATTTCAAAATTTTCCCTATAATATAGAAAATCTCAGTCTACTTTAAAGCCAAACTCCATCCAAAACTTTTTTGCTTTTGCATACAATGTCAAAAGTTTAAACCACGGAGAGGTTTTTATTGCAGATATTTCACATCTGCAATAAAAACCTCTCCGTGGTTTAAACTTTTGACATTGCATGCAAAAGCAAAAACGTTTTGGATGGAGTTTGGCTTTAAAGTAGACTGAGATTTTCAGAATGATGCCCATGGAGTTGTTGGGAACAGGAAAGAAAAGAAAAATATCTCCAGCAAGACAACAGAATTTGACCCTTCCACACCCCATTAACTATTCCAAACTGCGTCAAATGTATTACGGCACTAATACATCACTAACAGGTTAGTTTGTAATGATGTAACACACCTTTATCAAGTTGATCTATTGAGAAAAAGAGGGTAATCATGAAAGATTTTGCATGAAAGAAATGCCTGTACATTATTCTAACTATAATTTCTGAAATATAGAAATATTTTGTTCCCTGGTAAAAGATCTGGAAGAATATGGTAAGTCTAAATCAAAATCTTTAAACTTACCTTTGTACTTGGTCGGAAGATCAGAGAGTTGTTTTCATCGTATTCCAAACTGTTAATAAATATGACAGTTAACATATCTACTGTACGCTAGCAGCTGCATTAACATTTTACCACCAAAAAAAAAGCCCAAAGATATTTGCAGTATCTACTTACTACAAGACAACAAAAACTAAAGAGGTAGAGCCTGCTGTATAATCCAAAAGGGATTTGCAGATATGCTAGTGTTCAGAGGAGCTCCTATGTGACATTGCTTATATACTCTCTGAACCTTTTGAAACAGTGTGAGGTCAGATTCTAAATAACCACTGACCGATGACACGCAATTGAAAGAATAAGGCTCAGGCACAGCAAAGCTAAATAATATATTTAAATACTATATTTGTATCATAAGACCGCAAAAGTTAGAAAAATTTGGAGCAATTTTGACATTTCTCGCATGTGTGAAAATTACTTTGAACCCCAAAACATTATATATTTTCATAAAGCAAAGACCCTGGTGAATAAAATGCTGGCTGTTTTAATTTAGCACTAGAATTATTGTGGAAATATCTCATGTGTGGTGCAATCCACATTTACGTATGTATGATGGACCTATGTGTGTGTTTTGCATTTGTGTATGATCATGGGAGTGCTTTAAAATTTATTTTTTTTTACTTTTGTTTACATTTTTGCATTCAACTTTATTGCTATTACAAGGAGTGATGTCAGCTTGGGCAATGACAGGTACTCTTTATGCAGCGATCTGGGGTTTATTAGACCACCGATCCCTCCTCTGCACCCCTCCAATTCAGCTGATCAAATAGTATGGGATAGGGAAACACATCACTGAAACCAAAAGTGATGAAATCTTTGCTGCTTCTGACTTCACTCACCACAGATGAGAGAAAGGAACAAATGTCCCCCCTCTCCTTTGTGGGCAGCCAACCTGGCTGCTTACAGCAGTCCTGTGTTTCCCTGTGGAATGGGAAAGCCCAAGAATAGTGGCGGGGTCCTCCGAAGCCTTGTAAAAGTGGCATCATTTGAAATGTACCAGCACAGACTTATCAGCTCCTCCAGTGCAATAAGGAGCATGAAGATGGATCTAACCAAATGCTCGTTAGACTTAGCACTGTATATCATACATGTTAGAATAAGTTGTGATTTTGATTTTCTGATGCTTTGTACACATATAGGCAGCTGAAATTATATAAAACAAAAAGAAATTCTGCACTAAATGTCTGAATCAGAGAAGATAGAGCAGCTAACATGAAATTGCCTGCAATAATAAAATTAATATCTGTACAAAATGTAGCGCTTATTCTCTCATAAACAACATAAATATTATAAATGAAAGAAAAGTCTTAAAGAGAAACAGTCCTTAGACTTGTGATGCAATCTTCCATATAACACACGGGGGAAAAAAAAAAAAAAAGGAGTGATGAAATCGTCCCAAAGGGAATCCTCCACCAACACCATACACAGCCTCTTACCAGAGGGTAAGACCACAGGTCATGCGGTCATACACAGCATTTATGGACGGTCAGATGGGTGAAATAAGCCAAAAATCTTCTCCACCTCAAGGCACTTCCACGACTCACTCCAGAAAGACAGTAACTCAAAATAATGATTTAAACCGCATAGGCATGGAAATATGGAACCATAGAGCTTCTCCACCAATAGATAACTCTTCAGTTAGTAGTATGAAGATATACTTCATGGAACCATCTCAGGACAATAGGATGCATGCAAGAGAGAAATAAAAGCTCCTTGTGGTATAGTATTAAGGAAAAGCAAAGTTTAATGAAAGAAAAGCACTTACAAACCAACAGTGGTGCTTTTTTTCATAAAATTTTGCTTTTCCTTAATACTATACCACGAGGAGCTTTTATTTCTCTCTTGCATGCATCCTATTGTCCTGAGATGGTTCCATGAAGTATATCTTCATACTACTAACTGAAGAGTTGTCTATTGGTGGAGAAGTTCTATGGTTCCATATTTCCATGCCTAAGGAGTTTAAATCATTATTTTGAGTTACAATCTTTCTGGAGTGAGTCGTGGAAGTGCCTTCAGGTGGAGAAGAAGTTTGGCTTATTTCGCCAATCTGACCGTCCATAAATGCTGTATATGACCGCATGACCTGTGGTCTTACCAGTAAGAGGCTGTGTATGGTGTTGGTGGAGGATTTCTTCTATCTCCCTTTCATTTATAATATTTATGTTGTTATGAGAGATTAAACACTACAGTTTGTACAGCTGAAACTATATGCAAATCTACTGGTCACCAAAGCCACTCATCAGGTTAAAACACATCAGTGGACTCAGCACACACGAGGTACAAGGGGCAAAGCATGATTTTAGAGTAAAAGTCAAGTTTTGCATAAAAATGCACCTGTCTGCTCTCTAAATCTGCTGAATGTACCTGTCTGCTCTCTAAATCTGCTGAATGTTTTAACATGGGGTTTTCACTGCAAGTCACCTTTGCTTAGACACTTTTTCATGATATCCTTGGAATGAATTATCAAGTTGGAGAGAGGTTCACTTTAAACCAGACAGATTCTTGTTGATAAAATTAGAACAAATTTAAGGTCAATTAAGAAATAATAATATCCACCTTCCGAGTCTGTCAAACACAGTGGCACTTGGCTTGGTGACATTGTTGAAGAATAAGTCTAAATGAAATGTGTGTGGCGAGGTCTCCCTATAAGAAAAAAAAGAAAAAAAAAAAAATGAATAGTACAACTTATTATCTAAGCCCTTTTGCAAATTAGTAGCAAAATAAGCAACAAAGACGGAAGTTTGAACTGAACAGTTCTGGACAAGAGAGACACCTGCAGACATCTATGAGAATAATTTTTAGTGCACATCAACTAAGGAAAACCCCACTTTCCTGCCACAGGATAACCAGTGTTCTCATTGCAACACTGCAGATGTGACCAAATAAATACTGTGAGCTAGGACATCCTGCAGGTGAACTTACCTTTGAATCAATCAAAGTGACTGCTAACCTATGTGGAGATTTGCCATCTCCTGTTCACTGATTTATACAGTTACAATGAATTTAGGATGGGAAAAGAATCTCTATGGATAGAAATAGGAATGCACCGATACCGAGATCGGTATTTGTGCCAATACCCGAGCATTTTCACGAGTACTCATAAAAATGCTCCCGATACCAGAGACAGATACTTCGCGGTGCGATTCGTGTCAATACAAATATTGCATCCGTGCATTCCTGTCCAAATTGCATGCAGTTTCCTCATTGCTACTCTGTGGACCCAGGCTTGTCATAGCAGTGCGAGAAATCTACCTGCAGGTATCCCATGCTGAGTAGAGAGTAGGCGTGTGGGAATGTATACTATGGAAGCAGATGGTCCATAGTCTCAGCAGTAGGAGAGGAGAGAAAGCGGCGGGGATTTGAAATCCTTGCGGCTTTCTCTCCTCTCCTTGCAGGGATGACAGTTTGGGTTAGAGGGCTTTTGATTGGTCAGCACCATCACATGAACGGTGCTGACCAATCAATAGTCCTCTAGCCCAAACTGTCATACTTGTAAAGAGAGAAAATGGCAGTGATTTGAAATTCCCGCTGCTTTCTCTCCTCTCCTACCACTGAGAATATGGAGCATCTGCCGCCATAGTTTACATCCCCACACACCCAATCTCCGCTGTGGGAAACCTCCCTGCACAGCTCCTGTGTGACCTCAACCTGAGTTCACACAGTTCAACTGGGGAAACAAAAGGCGATTTTGGACAGGAATTGCATTCCTGTTCAAATTACATGCTATTATTAGTGGTGGGATTTGCGTCAATACATTTTGAATTAATGCAAATCGCACCACAAAGTATCGGTATAGGTGAGTACTTGACCGAAAGTATCGGTACTCATACTCGACGATAAAAAAAAAAAGGTATCGGTGCATCCCTAGATAGAAATATAGGAGTTGCTATCAATTAATTTTTGAAAGTACATGCTCCACGTCTGTTATTGGCTCTCCACCTAATAAGTCATTAACAAAGAGTGAACATGTACTAATTAGGTGTACAACACATGACATCCACATGCTCAGTGTAGGTCAGTAACTCACCAAGCAGTGAAGGAACAGTAAACATTTTTTTTTTTTTAATGCTCCACTACAATTACAAGCCCCCTTCCCCAAACACTTACCTGCTGCCCTTGTCACCACAGCTGGGTCCTGCAAAATCCACAAAGCTCCCCCAAACTTCCTAGTTGTAGAGGAAAGGTGAACTGCAACTGTTTGTCAAAAGGTGTGAGGAGAGTACATGGATAAGACTTGCAGAGCGCTTTGTACTCCAATGGACGTACACAGCCCTTGCTGGGAACTTGTGAGCAAGGGTGTCTCCTTTGTGGCCGACAAGGCAAAGGAGACTCTCACTAACAGGACTGCGGACCAGTTGTTTGTGGACCAACCAGGCATACAGGAAAGATATCGTTTCAATGAAGCAGACTATGGGGTTGATTTACTAAAACTGGAGAGTACAAAATCTGGTGCAGCTCTGCATGGTAGCCAATCAGCTTCTAACTTCAGCTTGTTCAATTAAGCTTTGACAATGAAACCTGAAAGCCGATTGGTCATTATGCACAGCTGCAACAGATTTTGCACTTTCCAGTTTTGGTAAATAAACTCCTATAAATTATATGCATCTCTGGCTTTCCTCAACTAAATGGGGTTTAGTATCACTTTTAGTGCAGACAAGGTCCGCAGTTTGTATCAAAAGTGCTGATATTTTTTAGTTTCTTTTAGGGCCAATTCACACCAGTGTACTGATCTCCATTTTAGCGCAGCTGTAAAATGCAGATCAACGGAAGGTCATCTGAAAAATCAATCATTTCCAATGTGTCTTATTCACACCATAAAGCTGCACTTACCTGCGTTGCGCAACATGTACTTATTTTGGCGCAACGTAACAGATGTAAGTGGATATCAACGCAATGTACAGGACATCCTGTGAAAATGCAGTATGCTTCAGCGCACGCTAAAATGCATGTCAACAGATGTCAGTGTGCAACTAAAATGGACAGAAATGTACATCCATTTCCCATACATTTTAGAGTGAGTCCGTGTGAATTGGCTTTAATGGTACATCACCTAAACTTTAACCCTTTTATACCCAATAATGCACCAGAGGGAGCAGAGAGTAAATTTAAAGAACACCTGAACTGAGATAAGTATGGGGCCATCACTATCCCCCTTTAAAACGATACAGGTTTCTTGATTCAAACGCTTTATGCATAGCTGCCTCAGAACAAGAGTGCAGATTAAAAACTCATTTCTCTCAGGGCAGCTTTTCTTTAAGACTAAGCAAAGCAGGAAATTTTGTTTTTTTTTATTGCTTATTTAAAGCACATCTCAGGTGTAAACATACAGAGTTATGCATCTTCTTTCCATCATTGTCAAACTTAACACTACATTGTACATCAGAGATCACATTAGCACTGATATCTAAAGCAGCTGCTGGTATTGTATCATTTTGACTGTCATTCTTAACTACTGTGATTAGAATACAGTTACAGAAGGATAAAAATAATTTTTACATACAGTGCTCAGCATAAATGAGTACACCCCAACAGATTTGTCAGAAAACCTTTACTTTCCTTTCAGAATCAACATTTTGTATGCGAGACTATACCACAAAATACTCCCACAAATGCGGGCCATTGGTTGCAAACAAGATTTGTTAATTTGCACACAGAAAAATGATTTTCCTAACAATTTTATTCAAGATCATGTTGCAAAAATGAATACACCCCAATGAAAGTCTTAGGAGCAAACCTAAATGTTAGACAAAAAAATCCTAAGTCTGGGTTCACACCTATGCAGGTTGCGTTCGAGCCATTTCTGCATTGCATTTATACATGCTTTTCTGCAGCGTTTTAATTGAAGTCTAGAAACAAAAACGCTACATTTTGCGTTAAAAAAAAGTCCCTGACCCTTTCCAAAAACGCACTGGGTGAAAACACGGAGATGAGAACCTATCCAAAAGGGCGTTACTTAAAGAAAACCCCTTCCCATTTCATGCTGTCAGCAATTGCACCACATGGAAGAGAAATATTACAATGCCTGAGAAAGAAAATCATTTCTTTACACAAGAAAGGTGAAGGCTACAAAAAGATCAGCAAATCAGTACTTATCAGTCAGAACACTGTAGCAAAGTGATATAAAAATTTAACAAAGATGGAACTGCAACCATCTCACAGAGACGTCCAGGCCATCCAAGGAAGCTAACCCCTCTACAGGAGCGTTTTCTGATGAAAAGTGTTGAAGAAAATCACCATGCAAGTTCACTACAGTTAGCTAAAGTAGTAGAAAGCCAAACTGGAGTTTGACACAATATGGCGTACACTACAGAGGAATGGCATGTATGGGTGTCGTCGTCGGCGTGTAAAGAAGCCTCTCCTAAAGCCCATGCACAAAAAAGCCCAAAAAGAATTTGCCAGGGCCATGCTGAAAAAGAAGACGACACTGGGACTCCGTACTCTGGAGTGATGAGACCAAGATAAATGTTTTTGGAACGGACGGCATCAAAACTGTATGGCATCGCAAAGAAAAAATGCATGGTGCCTACAGTGAAACATGGTGGCAGTGTCCTTCTGTGGGGCTGCTTGTGTGCTGCTGGTATCAGGGAGCTGCATTTCATTGATGGTATCACGAATTCCCAGATGTACTGCTCTATATTGAAAGAGAAGATGCCACCATCACTCTGTGCCCTTGGTCGTCGTGCACTTTTCCAACATGGCAATGATGCAAAACACACATTTAAGGCCACTGTTGTATTTCTGAGGAAGAACAGGGTGAAAGTGATTCAGTGGCCAAGTGTGTATCCTGATCTGAACCTAACCGAACACCTATGGGGAATTCTGAAGAGACAAGTTGAGCATCACTCTCCATCCAGCATCCAGGCTCCAAAAGAGGTCGTTCTTGAAGAATGCAAAAAGATAGATGCTGCAATATGTCGCCAACTTGTTCATTCCATGCTTGGAGGTGCTGTCCTTACAAATCATGGAGGTCATACAAAAATATTAGATGTAGTAGTTTTTGTTGTGGGGTGTACAATGCAAACTAATTTGAGCAAAACTGAAGATTTTGTAATCTAAGTTATATTATTAAGCTTACTTTCATGTAATGAGCTAAACAAATGTTCTATAAAACTCAGTTTTATAAAAATGTTGAAAATTGTTCTTGTGTTAAGATATTGATTAAAATCTTACTTTTCAAAAGGGGTGTACTCATTCATGCGGAGCACTGTATACTGCACTTGTGAAGTCATATAAAAGAATAAGGGTCCACTATTACTGGTGGGGATAGTTCGATAGACCAAAAGTAAAAAAAAAAAAGGGAAAGAAACACTGGGGAGGAAGAGGAAGGACAGAAGAAGGGGGTGGACGCAGGGGTAAAAGCACAGGGAAAAGAAAGAGGTAAAAGAATGGGTAGTTTGGGAGGTAAAGAAAAGTGTATCAGGAGTATATCCAAACCTGTGAGGTTCATAGACCTGGGTAGGCATGCCTACTGGAGGAAATATGACAGGGGTGTCTAGTGATCTCTATTTTTGTATGTGACCCCAGTGAAGGGTCACATTTATAGTTCAACGTGACTGGAGGAAAGGGTAGTGAACATATTTTTATCTTTGGGCGAGTAGGTCAAGAGTAATCCAAGGCAACCACAGAATGCAAAATGTCTCCTCTTTATTATGAAGAGTGGTAGTACAGTCTTCAATCTGCTCAATTTCAACAGGAAATTTAATTTTGACACATTTCATTGTTTTCTGAAAATGTATTAGTCTGAATTTTTGACTCACCCATAGGCCCTGCTGTCTGGCAGGCTGCTGTGTGCTCTAACTCCTGGTGGGATGACTCGAACCTCAGTGACGTAGACTACACATGGAAATCGGACCACGTCAACATTGCTGCCTTGCTACAAATGCAAATAAACAAGCATGTCATACCGCAATGAATACAAAAAAAATTAAAGATTCAGGCTCAGAAACATTTTAACGCATCAAACACAGCCAGAGACTTATGCCTAGTACACATTATGAGAAAATTGGATGAAAAATACCGCTTTGGAGCAATCATCTGATAATCTGATCGTTTGTATACAGTGATTGAGAGCCAATGTCGACAGTTCATGCAAAATTTTTGAAGGGCCAAGCACGAAAAGTTTTCTCGTATGATAAAAGAACAAACAATTAATTAATTAATTAATTCAATTAATCAGTACAGTATTTGTCCGTAAAAAAATCAAGTGACCAAGACTGCACATGCCCAGAAAAGAAAGAATACATTCCAATACATCACATCATTGCAGATTTTTTGGGATTTTGTAATGTCTTACAAGATTTTTCTTAACTCTGTTAACCTATTTGTTTTCAGTATGAGACTAGTATGCAAGAACAAAATGGAACGTTCGTTCGTTATTCTCATTGTGTGTACCAGGCTTATGATAGCAGACCCCCCATCACCGTAACAGTCTAAGCTCTAAAAGGAAACTATGTTGAGCAGAACAATGCTTTCTTCAAGGTACTGCACTTCTCTGTGACCTAACCAGCTGTTGCGGGAATGGGGCAAAAGTAGGGATGCACCGAAATATTGGTGGCCAAAATGTATCGACCAAAAATCATGTTATCAGTATTTTGCCAGTAGCAAAAAAGGTGCTGATAATGGCCGCGAAAACTTGCGATTTGGCCACGATTTTGCCACATTTAGGGTTCATTTTTCATAGGTAATGTGACTCAAAACACATAAAAATGCAACACTAGCGCGTTTTGATAGGTTTTTATTCGCTTCCTGTCCTACCTATAGCAGTAATACTGCTACAGGGCAACACAGGTACGCAAAATCATGTATATATATTTTGCATCACGGGGTAGGGGGCGTGCATGAGCCATGCGAGCGTGCTATTCGCGGCCTCGGCTTTCAATCAACGGGTCCCGGACGGTGATTACTCACTGGCTCCCGGTGATCGAGGATGATTACCAACGGGGATCCTGCACACTGCCATGCATGGCTTTGCAAAAGCAGAGCCATACAAAGCAGTGTGCTTACAGTGAAGCACACACACAGCACATACCGTAGTAAAACAGAACACAGTTAACCCCTCCCTGCCCAATGCCATTTGTATACAATATCAGTGCTTTTTATTAGCACTGATCACTGTATTGGTGTCACTGGGGATGTCAGTGGCACCAAGTCAGTTCCCCCCAGTGTCAGAATGCCTGCCACAATCCTGCTATGAGTTGCTGATCGCCACCATTACTAGCAAAAATTAACAAAAAATCCCAGTATATATACCGCCATTTGTAAACGCTATAACTTTCACATAAACCAATTTACACGTCTTGGGACAGGTCACAGAATACATTTTGGCCTAAATTTATGACAAATTGTGATTTTTTAAAAAATTTTTTACTGGATATGTTTAATAGCAAAAAGTCAAAAATATTTTATTCTCAAAATTGTCGGTTTTTTTTTTTTCTAGCGCAAAAAATAAAACACACAGGTGATCAAATACCACAGAAAGAAATCTCAATTCGTGGGAAAAAAAGGACGTAGATTTCATCTAGGTGCAGCATTGCATGACTGTGAAATTGTCACTGAAAGTAATGCAGCGCTGTAACGTAAAAAATGGCCTGGTCAGGAAGGGGGGTAAATCCTCTAGAGGGCAAGTGGTTAATGCATTCCAGGCCTGGTTCACATCAATGCATTTTGCAGAGCGTTTTAGCTGTATATTTTTAATTTTTTGTTTTGTTTTTGGGCCAACTTGTTGCTGGGCAGATTTAAAGGCAGAGTACAGGAAGTACTGACACCTGTCCGATTTCATTGCTGTCTGTACCTCGGAGGGTGAATCACCCTAACAGGGCACAGACAGCACTAAAAACAGACAGAGGTTTTAATTCTACTCTGTCCAAAACTATATATTTAAAAAAAAAAAAGTTTGCCTTCAGTTTTACTGCTTTAACTATTGCTAATACCTACTAATATTTGAAGAACTTTTGACCAGAAGAGAAAATAGCTTAAGAGTGAAATTGTAGACTTATTGCTAACTGCTTAAAGTGGAGTTTCACCAAAAGAGGAAGCTCGGCACCTCGAAGTGTCCCAGAGGACTGTGGCCCATTCACAAAGTGCAGCACGTGCATGCGCAATAGGAGGCCGGCAGAGAAACCACAAGGCTTCACTGCCAGTTTCCCTTAGTCAAGATGGCAGCTCCAGCTCTTGACGGCCGATTAAAGAATCAGCTCGGGGAGAGGACACCACTGGATCCCAGGACAGGTAAGTGCCCTAATATTTTAAGACAGCAGCTACAGTATTTGTAGCTACTGATTTTTAAATTTTTTTTTGGGGGGGGGGGGATGGTACTCTGTTTTAAATCTGCTCCCACCCCCTTCTAAATCCTATTCTAACTATCCTGTAGAAGGAAGATGTGTCTACTTACATGTTCTGAGGGCACTCTGGTCTGGTCACATGATCTCTCCAGCGGCCATCCTCAGTGTAAAGAGACCGCCGCCGACGGTTGCAGCTCCTGGGCAGTGATGTTACCCATAGGCTTACTATGGGGCATCCATTGCTGGCTGTCCTTTCTCTACACTGAAGCCACCGCTGACAACTGATCATGTGACCTGACCAACCAAGAAGAGGTAGTTATAAGCATGTCTCTTCTGCATTTGAAATCCTGCCTGTTGATCCATTTTGTTTTGTTTTTTTTTTTTACAAAGTTCCACTTTAACCGCTTGCCACCAGCCAACAGAAGATTTACTGGGCGGCAGCTGCAGGCTAGGCGACGTACCAGTATGTCACAGCCTGCTTCTGGGTTTTCATGCATGTACCCCCTACTGACCCACGCAGTGACTGGCCACAGCACAAGTTTGTCAGCAGGCCTCAGCAATGATTTTAGCTGTGGCCAATCACAGCACGGAGTTCTGTGTTTACAAACACTCAGGGCTCTGTACACAGAACAGCGATCTGACGGTTTCTTCTCCCTGAAAAGAAGCCAGATCTGTGAGTAAAAGCAGCACACATTACACTTCTTCACCCCTGCCCACCGGCACCTCCTGACATTTTAAGAGGTTTCAGATGCCGGGAGATGGAGGCAGGCATTTAGGTCATGTGACCACCATGATTGGCTGTCACATGATTGGAAAGCTACTGTTCACATGTAGAGATCCGGAGCTTTTCATTACCCGACAGTAACTGTGCGCTCTCAGGACAGCATTGTTTACATTTTGGTACATATATATACATCCTCTTCCTAGAAGGTCCACTTGCCCCAAGAGGCCACATATATGCGTATGGCTGGCAGGAAGAGGTTACGCAAACAGTTAACCCTTTGATTGCCTTTCCTGTTAACCCCCTTCCCAGCAAGTGTCATTAGCACAGTGTACAATATTATAGCTGATCAATGCAATAGTGTCACTAGCAACATTAGTGTCAGTTAGTGTACCTCCCAGCCAGTGTCTTGTCAGCATCAGATTGCCCGCCACACTATAAGTGGCCGATCACTGCCATTACCAGTATAGCAGCATAAACTCCAGTATATATCCCATAGTTTGTAGACGACTTTCATACAAACCAATTAATATACACTTATTTGGATTTTTATGTTACCAAAGACATGTAGCAGATTACATTCTGGCCTACATTTATGAAGAAATTTGATTTTATTGGATATGTTTTATAATAGATTGTAGAAATATTGTTTTTATTCTTCGAAATGTTCAGTGTTTTGTTTATATAATAAAAAACTAAAAAGTGGTGGTGATCAAATATCACCAAAAGAAAGTTCTATTTGTGTGAAAATAAACCCATTTTATTTGAGCACAGTGTGGCATGACCGCGCAATTGTCAGTTAAAGTCGCACAGTGATGAATAGCAAAAAAAATGGGCTGGTCATGAAGTGGTTAAGGCTCGCCATACACATTACAATCTGACCATACAACCAACTTCAGCTCCACCAGAACTACGGGTATGTAATATGAGGACTGCATGATCTATCCAATTCCTTGCACTATATAATTGTTGGCAGATTTAAAGCAGATTGTACAATCCGACTGTAATGTGTGGGGAGCAGTTGTCCATGGCAACCAGCCAGCTTCTATTTTCAAATGTTACAGAACCAGCTGAAGCCAAAGCTGATTGGTTGCTATGCACAGCTGCACATGCCTTAGTAACTCCCCCCCTTCCCATAGTAATGTTTATATGACATTATTGCCCCCCCAGTAATGTGTGTACACCCCCAGCCTCAGCATGTCACAGGAGGAGGCAGCACTCTCAGGATGTCCAGGCCTCAAACCCTCCCCGCCTGCCCCGCACACTACACACGCCTTCTCCTCTCACAGCCCACACTGACAATCCCCCCGGACCCGCCGAACCCGTTCCAGGCCCGCTCCTTTCTCTCACCTCCGTGTTCTGATGCTTGAAGGTATCTAAAAACAGCAGCTCCATGGCGGACTCACCCGCCATGTTTGGTGTGGGCGGGCAGGTGAGTGGGCGTGGTTTCCGCTTAGTGGGAATCGCATCCGAGCGAGAGTTCCTAGCTGAGCCAATCCGATGTTGGATTGAACTGTGGGCGGCCTTCTGCGGAAAGTGTCGCCAAACTGGAGAAGCCGCCGCCATGTTTTAGGTTGGATAATATAAAAGAAAACCTAGAATGATTTTGCGAAGCACTAATTCTCGTTACTATCCTTGTAGAACGAGACTGAGCAGTCCATCTAATATGCTCTTGATCTCTACTATTTGTGTCCTTCCCTGTGTTCGTTTATGCAGTCCTTATGTAGATGAATAGTGATACACACTATATTGCCAAAGGTATTGGTCGGCCTGCCTTTACACACACATGAACTTTAATGACATCCCCGTCTTAGGCCGCAGGGTTCAATATTGAGTTGGCCCGCCCTTTGCAGCTATAACAGCTTCCACTCTTCTGGGAAGGCTGTCCACAAGGTTTAGGAGTGTGTCTATGGGAAGGTTTGACAATTCTTCCAGAAGAGCATTTGGGAGGTCAGGCACTGATGTCAGACCAGAAGGCCTGCAACCTCTTAGGCTACGTTCACACTAGCCTTGTTAGCAAGTGGCAGACAGGCGTTTGGGAAGTATTTTTACCGTTTCCCAAACGTCTGGGAAAATTCTGCACATTGCAGCACATAGTGGTGTTCAAACGGGAGCGTTAGCGTCGCGGCAAAACGGACGCCTCTAGTCCAGTCAGGAGGAGTTGAAGCCTCCTATTCAAGTCTATGGTGCCGCTCTGCAAATGCCCAGCCGGTGTTTGCGGTGCGGTTGCAACGCGGTTCAAACTTCATTATAGGCATTTGTGGGGCGTTTTTAATGCTTGGCAAACACCTAGCAACCGCCGCTAAACCGGGCATGCGGCGTTTGTGGAGTCTTAAAAACGCTCCGCAAACACTGGACCAACGCGTGTCAAATGCTGTAGGGGCGTTTGGCAAGAGTTGGAAAAACAGTCAAGTGTGAACGAGCCCTTAGGCTCACAGTCTCTAATTCATCCCAAAAGTGTTCTATTAGGTTGGGGTCAGGACTCTGCAGGCCAGTCAGGTTCCTCCACTCCAGACTCACTCATCCATGTCTTTATGGACCTTGCATTGTGCACTGGTGCGCAGTCATGTTGGAACAGAAGAGGCCATCCCCAAACTGTTCCCACAAAGTTGGGAGCATGAAATTGTCCAAAATGTCTTGGTATGCTGACGCCTAAAGAATTCCCTTCACTGGAACTAAGGAGCCAAGCCCAACCCCTGAAAAACAATCCCACACCATAATCCCCCCTCCAGCAAACTTTACACTTGGCACAATGCAGTCAGGCAAGTACCGTTCTCCTGGCAACCACCAAACCCAGACATGTCCACTGGATTGCCACACAGAGAAGAGTGATTGGTCACTCCAGAGAAACCCCCCCCCCCTCCACTGCCACATTTGGCACATTTTAGAAGAGAGGGGGGAGCAGGTATCTAGTTTTGACAGGTACGCGCTCCCACTTCTGGCTGAATTCACCATGTCGAACTGAGCCGGAAGTTCAGCCCCCCCTTCCGGCAGCCCTCTGGGACACTTCCAAGATCCCGGAGAACTGCAGCTCATTCACTCCACTAAGTTCCGGGTCACATATATGCGAATCCAATCCAATCCACATGACATGTTTAAAAAAAACATTGCTTCCTATGGTACCCGTTCACATATGTCCGGTGCACTGGCAGTGCAGATTTAACCACTTCCCGACCGGCCGTTGTATATAAACGGCCGGACGGTGGCAGTGCAGGGTCGGGTGGCCGTTTATAAATGGCCGCCCGCATCCGAGGCTCGTGCACGGCTCCTAGAGCGCGCACCCGCGAGCCCGGTGATCGCCGTGTCCCTCGGATACCGGCGATCACCTGACGTGGTACAGGACCGTCCTGTACCATGTGACCGACTGTGTCCAATAAGGACACAGTCTTAATGTAAATAGAAGCCGCATGGTGCGGCTTCTGCCCCCTTGACCGCGCACGCGCGTGCCCAGAGATCGCCGGGTCCCTCAGATACAGGGGATCAGGTAACATGGTACAGGACCAATGAAATCGTCCTGTACCATGTGACCAACTGTGTCCAATAAGGACACAGTCTAAATGTAAACAGAAGCCGCATGGTGCGGCTTCCGGCTCCTTCTCCTCACACGGAGTTCTGCCTGTGAGAGAAGGAGCCGGATAGCCTGAGCAAGAGCAAGCCTGATCGCAAGTGTCCCTAATTGTCCCTGATCACAGTGTCCCTGATCACGTGTCCCTGACTGTCTGTCCCTGATCACAAGTGTCCCTGACTGTCCCTGACCACAAGTGTCCCTGACTGTCTGTCCCTGACCACAAGTGTCCCTGATTGTCTGTCCCTGATCACAAGTGTCCTTGACTGTCCCTGACCACAAGTGTCCCTGATCGTCAGTGTCCCTGATCGTCAGTGTCCCTGATCGCCAGTGTCCCTGATCGCAAGTGTCCCTGATCGCCCGTGTCCCTGATCGCCCGTGTCCCTGATCGCCCGTGTCCCTGATCGCAAGTGTCCCTGATCGCCAGTGTCCCTGATCACAAGTGTCTCTGATCGCCAGTGTCCCTGATCGCCAGTGTCCCTGATCGCCAGTGTCCCTGATCGTCAGTGTCTCTGATCGTCAGTGTCTCTGATTGCCAGTGTCTCTGATCGCCAGTGTCCCTGATCGTCCGTGTCCCTGATCACAAGTGTCCCATGATCATCCGTGTCCCTGATCACAAGTGTCCCTGATCGTCAGTGTCCCTGATCGCCAGTGTCCCTGATCGCCAGTGTCCCTGATCGCCAGTGTCCCTGATCACAAGTGTCCCTGATCGTCAGTGTCCCTGATCGTCAGTGTCTCTGATCACAAGCGTCCCTGATCGTCAGTGTCTCTGATCACAAGCGTTCCTGATCACAAGCGTCCCTGATCGTCAGCGTCCCTGATCGTCAGCGTCCCTGATCGTCAGCGTCCCTGATCGTCAGCGTCTCTGATCGCCAGTGTCCCTGATCGCAAGTGTCCCTGATCGCCCGTGTCCCTGATCGCCCGTGTCCCTGATCGCCCGTGTCCCTGATCGCCCGTGTCCCTGATCACAAGTGTCCCTGATCGCCAGTGTCCCTGATCGCCAGTGTCCCTGATCGTCAGTGTCCCTGATCGCCAGTGTCCCTGATCGTCAGTGTCTCTGATCGTCAGTGTCTCTGATCGCCAGTGTCTCTGATCGCCAGTGTCCCTGATCACAAGTGTCCCTGATCATCCGTGTCCCTGATCATCCGTGTCCCTGATCACAAGTGTCCCTGATCGCCAGTGTCCCTGATCGTCAGTGTCCCTGATTGCCAGTGTCCCTGATCGCCAGTGTCCCTGATCGTCAGTGTCTCTGATCGTCAGTGTCTCTGATTGCCAGTGTCTCTGATCGCCAGTGTCCCTGATCGCCAGTGTCCCTGATCACAAGTGTCCCTGATCGCCAGTGTACCTGATCGCCAGTGTCCCTGATCGCCAGTGTCCCTGATCACAAGTGTCCCTGATCGTCAGTGTCCCTGATCGTCAGTGTCCCTGATTGTCAGTGTCTCTGATCACAAGCGTCCCTGATCGTCAGTGTATCTGATCACAAGCGTTCCTGATCACAAGCGTCCCTGATCACAAGCGTCCCTGATCGTCAGCGTCCCTGATCGTCAGCGTCCCTGATCGTCAGCGTCCCTGATCGTCAGTGTCCCTGATCGTCAGTGTCTCTGATTGTCAGTGTCCCTGATCGTCAGTGTCCCTGATCGCCACACAGCGGCCCAGCTGTGTCCCTGATCACTGCATAGCGGCCCAGCTGTGTCCCTGATCTCCACACCAGCAGGTCTTGATCACCTCCCACACTACCAGGTCCTGATCATCATACCACCAAGTCTTGATCACCGCCACACATGCAGGTCCCAATCACAGCTATACCAGCGGGTCCTGATCGCCGCCACACTAGCAGATCCTGATCACAGCCATACCAGCAGGTCCTGATCACCACCCCAGCAGATCCTGATCACCACCAAACTAGTGGGCCCTGATCCCCGCCATACCAGCGGATTCTGATCGCCGCCACATCATTGGATCCTGATCGCTGCCAAACCCACGGGTCCTGATCACCACCATACCAGTCCTGATCACCTGAGAGCCATTACAGCAAACTGTGAGTACTTTTTAGTCTTTGCACACAGTTTACACACACACTCACAAAACATTGCTTGCCAGCTCACGGTATCTCTGATCACACATTTGGTATCGCCATATTCAGGAAGAGTTATAGAATGTGTTTTGGGGTGTAATTTTAAGTATGCCTATGTTGTATAATAGAAATATCTCATAGATTGACAACTTTGCGTAAAAAAAAAAACATTTTCATTTTCTTTTCACATTTTCCAAAAACTTTTGGCAAAAAATGCAGTCTTCAGAAGACTCCACATGACTCTTAAAATATACCTTGGGGTGTGTTTGCTTTCCAAAATGGGGTCATTTTGTGGGTAATTCCATTGTCCTGATGCTCCAGGACCTCCAAAATGGCATTAGGTAGTCAAGAAATTAGATGTGTCATTTTTTTCCCCTAGAACTCCAAAAGGTGCTTATTGGATGTGGAGCCCCCCTATGTGGCCAGACTGTGAAAAAGTCTCACACATTTGGTTTCGCCATATTCAGAAAGAGTTATAGAATGTCTACACGTGGACGTCCGGCGAGACGGACGTGTCTCGGCGAGCTCCTGCTCCCCCGGCCCCAATCCGCTGCCATCTGGGCGGCAGCGGACCCTGACGGGGGCCCCACGACCCTCCGGTCCCTGTTCGCCAGCCAGGGAAGGCCACTGGACCTTTCTCCGGAGCTCCGGGACTTGCGGCCTACCCGGCACCTGAAGCCGCGGCCTCGATTTTTTGGCGCGGCCGACCAGGATCGCCGGACATCAGCCCCGGACTACTGCCGCTCCGCTCCTCGGTCCCCGCCGATCAGCCAG